CATATATACTGCTGAAATAAAAAGCAGTTGGGACTGGACGTGTTGATTCTTGTTTCTATTTCTTGATAGAGTCCCTCCATCCGTTTGTCTGCCTGTCTAGTTACTTGCCAGCCCGTTCATTTATCCATATATCCACCCACTCATCTCTCTTAGTCTCGAATCCAGCTCTTCATCCCGCAGTTCATCCTTCCGTCTCTCGCTATCTACGACCCACCCATCCTGCCGTCCATACAGCGATACCAAACTAGTCGAAGTGTAGAACCAGCCAGCTTCTCATTGTCGCAGACACAAGCAGCTAGAGAGCCTTGGTCAGTGCATTACATGAATATACAATACCATAAACACTAACAAGAATGCACATCATCTCCCTGTCTGTCCATCTGGCCGCCTGTCTGTCTGTCTGTCTGTCTGTCTGTCTGTCTGTCTGTCTGTCTGTCTGTCTGTCTGTCTGTCTGTCTGTCTGTCTGTCTGTCTGTCTGTCTGTCTGGATGCGGTGTGTAGTTGGATGGTCGGTCTTTGGTGGTTGTCAACTAGAGCTGTTGCCTCTGTTGGTCTGGCTGGCTGTCTGTCTGTCTGAAGTAAAGTAAAGCAAAGATCCCTTTACACGCCCTTTAGGTGCATCGGGCATATGGGAAGAGCACCCATATTTTTACAGACCAATCGGCACTCGGTGGGTAATGTGATCAGCATTACGCCGGCCGTCTTTACTTTCCCATGATAGCCCATCCTGGTACCCATTTGAGGCTGGGTCGACCTGCGACGTCCCATACCACGATAAAAATCCATGCAGCCCGCAGTGGGTTTCGATCGCGGTACGTTCGGTGGATTACGAGTCAGACTGGCAACGCCTTAGCCACGGACGCGCTGTCTGTCTGTATATTATGCATAAATTATATTTATAACCAAGTCACGCCAAGTTGTTCTATCCTTTGCTATCGCACGCAGCTCTCCCCATGTCCTCCCCATGTTTTTAACTTCCCGATCTAGCTCTTATCTTTGTCCTCATTTATTTCTTTCCCCGTGTGGTGGGTCCCAGTTCAAAGACATTCTAGTTGTATAGTTCTCAGGTTTTCCCAACGTGTGTCCTATCCACCGCCAGCGTCTTTTCTTCACCTCATGGTCCAGTGGAAGTTGTTAAATTCGTTTTCCCAAAGCTCTGCATGAGGGATTCCATCATACCATTCAATTCCCGTTGACTGACTCAGCATCTGGTATTTGACCAGCACCCGCCTGAGTCAGCGAGGACCACGCCTCCCTCTTCCCCGGCATCGCCTCCCACTAATGAGAACACACAGCCGCTGTAATTAATCCCTTTAATTGCTCATTTATCTCAGTTCACGCAGGAATGCCGAGGCTGTCGCTGTTGTCCTGGACAACACATGAAACAAGAACGACTGTAGAACGTCTGTTAGTCATCTGTCACTCTACCTCCGTGCTCCCAGGCTGCTTTCCCCTTCAAATAAATTGTATGACAAAACATGTGCTGCCCCCTGATTCATCGTGTCAAAGTGTTTACCAGAGGTGTAGCCCTCTTGTGTGTTTTTTAAATAGGGGTTTTATCTTTGGCACTTTGTGGCCTTCCTTCCCATCTCAGTTTGTTCTTTCGTTCCTTCTTTGGGGGTTAAAGTACCATGAGCGTGCCCCACACACACACACGCACGCACGCACACACACACACACACAGAGAGAGAGAGAGAGAGAGAGAGAGAGAAAGAGAGAAAATGTGTGAGGAGGCTTAAGGGCAGTAATAACCGGGTATAGGCTCTTCTAAATATTTGTTTAATAATTTCACATAATTTCATATGTATTATTTTATAAATTTGCAATTCAGCACATTATTCCTATTACTCATTTAAACAAGGTTTAGGCTACTTGAACCCTCTCCCTCTTCCAGAAAATTAGTAATGAGCTTACACCACTCCCCCCTCCCCATTTGTCCAAAAAAATTTATAAGCCTCTTACACACCCCACTCCGTTTTTTAACCCAGTTCCTTCTCTCCCCCACCCCTACGGATGTTTTATCTGTGTCCCTATGCTTCTGCCCTCCTTTATATCTTCCACCAGTAGGTTCCAGAGTGTTCTAGTTAGCTGTAACTTACAAAATTCTCAAAGATAAAACATGGTACTGCCACAAGTCTGTGGGTTTCAGTCTCAGAATTTGGTGGGGCCTGTGTCTGCATACAAATGTGTTATTATCACCCCAGCTAAGGCTGTGGGAAAAAAAAAACCCACATCAGGTGGCAGAAAAGACTGGTAACTTCTGCATGTGTCAGAATAATTAATTAATTTGTGCCAGCTCTAGTTTGGTTTGTGAATGGAAGAAATTTAATTGTGTCTGTTGTTACAGATTTTTTTTTTAATATTAAAAAACAAAAAGGTCATGGAATGAAGGTTTCATATAACAAGATACGTTTTATTTGGCGCTTTTTTTGAGATTCCAGCTTTAATGGTTATATTTTTAGCTTCCATGCTTCTGCTGTAACTGCTTCCCCCTCCTTTTCGCCGTGGGTTCTAGAGCCCTATTGTGGGTAAGGGGAAGGGGAAGGATCCACTGGGCCTCCCTAACAAGCATGTTGTAAGAGTTTATTATTTAAGGGCTTCCTTCTAAGTCAGAGTGCATCTGCCTGAGAGGCAAGGCACCAACAGTCTGCATACAAAGAAACCATCATCATCATCATGCTGAAAGTCGCTCTCATCACGGTCTGCCTAAGAGAAACTCAGTCTCTCGCCAGCTTTCCTGCCTCATGTTCTTTCCCACTCAAGAAGTCACTTTTATCCTGTGCCCATCTTCGTGTAGGTCAGCCCCTGCCCCTCCTTCCTGGTACCATGCCTTCTGCTGTAATTGTTTCCAATGCGTCGTGGGGCTTGATATGACCAAAATATTTCAGCTTCCGAGACAGATGCTGTTTATTAGCCACTCTTCCTTGATGTTCAGATCTTTCAAGATGTCAGTATTTCTTTTTCGTCCAAGATATTCTGAGAATCTTTCTGTAGCATTTCAGCTCAAAAGCCCCTATTCTCTTTCTTAAGGACAAAGAAACCAGATTAGTAAAATATATGTGCATGCAAAACTCGAGTTCTGGAACAAAAGACTGTCCACTGGAGTTTACAGCTGGCAGTTAGAAAGAAAAAGAAGAAGAGGAATGTTTTTTTTTTTTTAATGTGGTGAGGTTATTGAATGATAATAATTTGTACTTAGAACAGTTGTTTCCAGATAGGTAACTAATGGCAACCTCTTATTTTAAAGTCTGTGTCGGACCAAATACTTTTTAAAAGTCGTACTTAAGAAGTCTGTGTCGGACCAAATACTTTTAAAAAGTCATACTTAAGAAGTCTGTGTCGGACCAAATACTTTTTAAAAGTCATACTTAAGAAGTCTGTGTCGGACCAAATACTTTTTAAAAGTCATACTTTAGAATTTATTAGAATTTGTTTTTCTTTTCTTTCTTCACATCTTTTTGTGCTGCTTTGGGTGTCGAGGAAGATATAAGATTACGATTCTTGCTTTTCCAGCCGCCTCGCCCATAGCCACATCTTGTTGTTTTAGAGTTTTGTTGATGTTATCTTTCCATTTTGTTTTTGGTCTGCCTGTTGCTATATGTCCCCCTCCTCTCTTATTGTTTGCCTTGTACATTATGTTTATAAATATTAGAATAATATAAATGATTTTTTTTTCAAAATTTGATGGTTTATTATTTTTTTTTCAAATAATCACAAACCCCTTAAATTTATTTTGAGGACTACAGACTTGGTTAGACAGACTCAGATATTTCTGTTTTGATGTGTGACTTGATGTCTGGCCAAATGTCTGGTTTAATGTTGTCTTGTTTGATGTCAAAAATTCCAGCTTTAGTGCTTCATTTTCATTTGTTTTATTTTCTCATACTTCTGCTTCTTTCTTGAACATTGAACTGTGGAAATGGTAACATGACGGTCAAAAATGTGCTACAAGACAGTCCAACATATGCAGAACAGAGACAATAATTCTGGCTTGCACCTGCTACTTTTCAGGATAAACTCTAAGGAGATATCAGCAACCTCAGGTTGACTGCTGGTTTCTTTAAATATATTCACATTAACATCTGAAGGTGTAAGAGGAGGAAATCCTGGTACTTATCACAAACTGACCTGCATGGTGAGAGTTCCTTCCCCTTCCATTCATGCTGTGGCAGGTCGCACAGCCTATCCTGTGTTTAAAGGTGTCATGTTTTCCTTATTTTCAACGACTTAAACGTTCTCTCTTTTCTCATCTTGTCACCCCCGCACTTACTGATTATCTCCACATTGTGTTTCTAGACTATCAAAACTGCAATGTTTTTGTATTTCTGCCTTCCTTGTCAGTCGCTTCTTTTTCTGGGTGTTGGGGAAGGGGTGGGGGGAGCGACCGCCCAAGGACGCAAAAATCCCAGTCTCCCTGCTCACGATCAGTCGAGCCTTCGATCAGTCGAGCCTTCGATCAGTCGAGCCTTCGATCAGTCGAGCCTTCGATCAGTCGAGCCTTCGATCAGTCGAGCCTTCGATCAGTCGAGCCTTCGATCAGTCGAGCCTTCGATCAGTCGAGCCTTCGATCAGTCGAGCCTTCGACACTTTCCCCCTGCAGTATTTCTTGTACACCGGCACTTCTGACCTCTCACACAGACTCACGACAACACAGGCTCCCACAAACATTATAGTAAAGCCATCCCATAACACCCCCACAACATAAGACAGGCCGTGCGACTGGCGGCAGCATGAATGGGAGGGAAAGGAACTCTTGCCGTGCAGGCAAATTCGTAAGTTCCAAACTCTAGTAGGGGAACTCGGAGCTAGTAGTCCCTAGTGAAGCTGAGTTCAAAAACCGTAAAGTGGAGAAAAAAAGGAAACAGATCCCCATTTATCCATCATATACTGGCGCAAATATTGCAGCTGTGTTGCTTTTACATCTTCGGATGAACGTAGAAGAAGAACAGTAAGATATTATGCTTCACATTCCTGATAACTGTAACCCTTTATTGTAACAGGACTGGGTCACAGCGACAGATATCAGAATTGTTCTGACCCGCATGAACACATTTGGTGACGAAGTGTTTGGTGATGCTCAAGTACTGAAGTCTTACTTCTACGCTATCTCCGATTTAGCTGTTGGCGCCAGGTAAGTGACAGGATGCTAATGGATTTGTCAACCTTTTTTTTTTTTTACCAATCACTTTGGTCTCTGTTTTTCAATGAGTTTAATTATATCAACTCTTCCAGTCATTCTTGTAATTTCTTCGTTTGTCACATAATCTCTTCTAGTTTTGTTTCACGGCCCTTTACAAACATCACAGTTTTGCAGGTGGTTAGTTTTTTTCTGTAACATTTTTTGTTTGAAAATGGAGCCTTCTCAAAATCAGAGGTTCCCGTGTGGGTTTCAGGGCTGTGGGGGTAGGGGGGGGGGAGATTAGACCAAATGCCTTCCTCACAAGCATGTCCTAGGGGTTGACTAATTGAACTGATTCCTTCAACAGTGTGTGCATCTGCCCGAGCGGCAAGGAAGCACTAACTGCACACACACACAAAAAAACAGTAAAATGGATGTACATGCACAACTCAGGCCCTGGCACAAAGCCAAAGTCCAGATGAACGAACAGCCAGGTCTTCCCCTGCCGTTCTTGTTGTTTCGATTTTCACCTTGATGCTGAACAAAGAAGAAGAAGAAGGATTTCACACACCGATCTCTTCTTCTGGTTTTATTCGCGCTATTCTCAACATCATTTCACAGGTGGTTAGTCTTTCTCACTTTTGTTAATGTCCAAGGTGATCGTATTTATAATTTTCTCTGTGGTAATAGGGTGTTTTTTTAATAAATGATGGTGCCTTCTCAGTACAGAGGCTGGCTACAATGTATCCTCTGTTAACTGTCAGGGGATATATGAGGCAACTGTCGTGTAGTGAGGTGAAGCCCGTCTCTTATATCACTGTGCAAAGCAGCTCATAAGTCCTCCTGTTTATCCTCGTTATCTGTGAAAACCACAACGTCTCTTTTGTGCAAACGTCGAAAACCACGTCTTTTTTCTACACTGTGGGAATTGAACTCTCGTAAACATTTATAAAACAACAAGAGTTGTCTTGCTCTTTGTGTTCACTGGCAGTAAACGCCAGCAGAAAGTTTGGGTTGTTCCTCCACTTCTGGACTATCCGCTTCACTATCCATTTCTGAGTTTTGCATCCTGATGCGTTTTACAGATCTAGTTTATTTGTGTGCAAACTGTTGGTTCCTTGCCTCTCAGGGAGATGCACTCTGACTTGGAAGAAAATACCCCTACTTAGTTATATCTTAGGTCATGCTTGTTAGAGAGGCAGTGGATCTGTCCTTTGTTTCCCAAAAATGGGGTCCTGGAACCCACACAGATAGGGGAGAGTAGTCAGATTTGATATATTCTCAATCCTGATGTGTGGTGCAGAAAGCAGGACAGTGAACAAGCAACCAGAAAATTGAACTGAGTCTCCATAAATGTGGAAATACAGAATAGTGGTTCATATTTTATGGGGAAAAAAACGAAAAAAAAAACAATTCAAATAGGGGTCTGAAGAGACTGCAAATGAAAAAAGAGTTACTATAAGACATAAAAAAAAAATAATAGTTTAAATATTTGGTCCACATTAAAAACATAACAGTCTTTTTTAAAACATACTGGAGGGAAATGTTAAATGCAAGAGAGCAAAGAAATAGACAACGATACAAGTGTGAGGACAACATCAAGGGATGGACTAACAGCAGTCTGAGAGAGTTCACAACCAAGACAAGAGATAGAGTGTGGTGGAGATCCACTACAGTCAGCCTTCTTTGTTTCTTCATTCTTCCTTGTTCGTCTTCATTGTGAAATCATTTCAACAACCTCAAAATGGGGATTTCGAGGTGAAGTTGTCAATCCGTTTGCCATGTGCTCTGGGGGTTGTAGGTTCATTTCGCGGTGGTGCCGTTCAGTTCAAGAGTGCAGTTTTTCACAGAAATCCCTAGGGTAGCTGTGAGGTTGTGTCCTGTGCGATGCTCTCGGCAGACAGCTAGTTGTCCAGCTGCTCTGCGGAGAGACTGAGCCATATGGGGTAAAACCCAGTGCACCAAAGTCACTCCTCCCATCTTTACCTTTACCACAGAGCTTTCTTATTAACATTACCCACATCATTACCCACATTACCCACATTACCTACATCATTACCCACATTACCCACATTATGATTTCAATATCTACTAATGTCCAGGTGCAAATGTAACGGCCATGCCCGCATTTGTCGAGAGGTCAGGGGTCAGGACCTGGAGGACCATCTTGAATGCGTGTGTGAGCACTTCACCACAGGCAGGGACTGCGAGAAGTGTCTGCCTTTTTACAATGACCGGCCTTGGGGCAGAGCCATTGACAACAATGCCAACGAATGCCAAGGTAACACTAGACGTTTGTTAGATTGACATTAGACGTTAGTTAGAGTGACACTAGACTTTCGTTAGAGGGACTCTAGACTTTCGTTAAAGTGACACTAGACTTTTGTTAAAGTGACACTAGATGTTTGTTTGAGTGACACTAGACTTTTGTTAGAGTGACACTGGACTTTTGTTAGATTGACTTTAGACATTTGTTAGAGGGACACTAGAAATTTCTTCGACTGATGCTACATTTTGTGTGTGTGGATACTTGACAGTTGTTGGAATGAGACTGGACAATTGTTGGAGTGAACACAAGACTTCTTCTTTCAGGTTTCTTGCTGTTTTCTTGAAGTACCTTGAAGACGCTGTCCTGAGTGATCATGCTTCTGCACATCTGGAATCTCCAACCACAATAATTTGTTCATCTGCTGACACCTTTCTTTGCCATGACAACTAATGATCTCCAACTGCATTAATTTGTTCATCTGCTGACACTTATCTTTGCTATGACAACTAATGATCTCCAACTGCATTAATTTGTTAATCTGCTGACACCTTTCTTTGCCATGACAAAAGACTCTTGTGAACTGTTTCTCATGATCCTTCTCTTACCCCTCTCTTCATAAACCTTTCCAGTTATCAGATGTTCCAGTTTGCTTACCTCAGTGTGCTCTTCTTTTTCTTTGCATTCACTGGCTGTGAACTCCGGTGGAAAGTTCTGATTGTTCACCCACTTCTGGACTTTAGTCTTCTTCTTCTCTGTCTTCTGCGTTCATCCGAAGATGTAATTGCGTTGCATCTGTTTACGATATTTGCATCTTTCGGCCAACACATCCGAATTCTGCGGGCATTTGTTGACTGGGTTAGCCTTCCCAGTGGACTTTAGTCTTATTCTAGAACTTTGGTTTTGCATGCAAATCCATTTCATAGATCTGGATTTTTTTTTTTTGCAAGCAGGCTGTTGGTCTTCACCTTTCAGGCAGATGCAGTCGAGTTGTGAAAAAAGCACCTCTAATAAGTCCAGTTTTGCGACTTGCTTGTTGGGGGTGGGGGCAGTGGGTCTAGTCTTTATTTTTCGAAAATGAGGCCTAGGAACCCACTCTGGCGGAGATCTTGTTAAAAAAAAAAAAAAAAAAAATTTAACAATTACTTGTTTCTAAGTGGTTTGTTTCGTAGAAAATGATTTAATAAACTGCATGCCATCGGTTCTAGCAGTTGGAGTAGCGAGACAGGTAAACCACACGGAAGCCACCCGTCATTATATCAGCCAGAACAGAATGGAAGTTGTTAGCCTAAAAAAAATCACTTGGAGACACACTCAGGAGGAAATCGGAGCACTTATGGTCATGTGTGATCATCTTTTAAATGAACAGTAATACTTGCTACATGCCCAGGAGAGATCACTCCAGCGTCACTTAACAGTCATAGCTAGCGCTGTTCCAAACCCAGCAGCAGCACAACTCCCATGGTCACTAGGGAAAAACGGTTGCCTATTCAATACTTGTTATGTCTTTGTTTTCCCTTATATTTTCTGGAGCCACATTTCTGGTGAAAAAACCCTGAATAGGCCCACGGCTTCTCAACAAGCATGTCATGAAAAGTGACTAATGAAGGATTTGCTGAGTACTTTATAATTATCCTACCCCAAACATTGGAAATCCACAGGTCACGGGACAGTCTAATATTTTAGGGGGTGGTAGATAGGCTGCATGCAGTCGTGGGACCTAGGCTGCATGTAGTCATTGGACCTAGGCTGCACTCTCTCGTGGAAGGTAGGTGGGTTAGGGTTAGGGCCAGTTCTTTATGTTTCGGGGTTGTTAGAAGCATCAGAAACCGGGAAACCCAGTCTTACTACCCTCTAAAATGTTGGACTATCCTGTGACATCATCTGGGGTAGGGTATTAATAAAGTACCATTTGCTGAAATCAGATGTGTTGAGTCAAAAGGTGCAGATATCACAGCCTAGCTGTAATTCACAATGTGTCAATCATTCTTTTTAAGGGCAAATGCAACAACAAATACTCTCACTATTACTTACAGTATAATTTGACTGAGATTTGTTCTTCATTTTTCACACAAAACTTACACACCACGTTCATTTTCATGCAGCCCGGAGAATGAGGTAAGAGATACAAGAGCATCTGTGTTTTCTTTTCTTTTCTTTTTTTTTTTCCCTTGGTTTTCTTTTGCATTCTGTTTTTTGTTTTTTGTGTGTTTGTGGTGTGAAGTGTTTAGATAGAAATGTTAGGGGACAAAAAAAGATGACGAGGAAGGTGTGACTGAGGGTTGGGCTACCTCTCCTAACACCCCCCTCCCCCAACCAATGTTTTAGTTAATTTGTTTGTTGTTGTTGTTGAGAAAAAAGGAAGAAATAAATAATCATTTCCATGAAGAAACCATCCTGTTGATGGAGTTGTATAAAATAATTGAAACAGTGCCTAATACTACAATGAATAAATACTTGTACAAAAGCAGTAAGATGAAATATATTTTAATTTTAACCTTGCAGGGTGTCCGCCTCGAGGTTCCGGGCTAAATCCCCGGTAGGGGGACGTAGACTTCTAGTAATTGCCCCTGGTCTCTGGGTAGTGAGATCGGACGCCTGTGTGCATTGCTGCGCATGTAATACAAATCCCTTGACAGTTGGGAATTGAAAAGAGTAGCCTAACGGTGCTGCCTGGTTAAAATTTAGAGTTAGAAATCTACCCAAAGTATTTCAGGATCCTCGCCGGTGCTACATAGTCTGTGCAATGTGCTGAACTTCTTCGGACTCAGACTTGAGTTAGAAGAAGAATGGAGCACTTATGGGTTGCTACCAGTGTGCCATGATGTTGATCCATTGTTCAAACTTCAAACTTTTGAGAAGGGATGAAGAGAATAGTTCTTGTGTGGAAGGAGAGTTCCTTCCAATAAAACTTCAGTAATCTGAAATTCTACTGTTGTTTCTCTCTCCCCCCCCCCCCTGTGTTTTGTGGGAAGGGGCCCATTAGTGTTTATTGTTACTTTCCATTATGATTTTAGTTGTGTTTTATCACTGTCCAAGATATTTGTTTAAACAGTAAAACCTTTAACACGAATTTCAAAGGACCCACAAAAAAACAATAAACGACAGCAACATGAGTTTTTTTTTTAAACAATTTATGCTCAAATAAGAATTATACATTCTCTGTGTGTGGGTTTCAGGGTCCCATTTTAGGGGAAAATAAAGAGTAGACCTACAGTTGCCCTTTCACAAGCATGTCTTAAAAGGCAACTAATGAATGATTTTCTCTCTCTGAAGTCGGAGCACATCAGCCCGAGAGGCAAGGAACTATTAGTTTGCATACAGATCTGTAAAACTGATTTGTACGCAAAATTCAAGTTCTGGAAGAAAACTAAAGTACAGAACTGGACAAACGACCAGAAATTTCCACCAGTTCACAGCCGGTGAATGCTAAGAAGTAGAAAGATAAATATATCCCTACTCGGACCAACATTTTCTATTTCTGTAAACCTAGTGTTTTTCTTCATGGAGTTCAATTTAATGAGGTTTTGCTGTGGTGTAAGGTACTCTTGCTTAATAATTCTCTTGTCCTTCCTGGTCGGCTTATGGTTTTTATTGTTATTTTTTTTTAAGCTGTTGATATCTGAAGAAGGATTTAGGATATTTTTTTGTTGTTTGTTCAATATATGTGTGATTTGTAAATGCTGAATATGTATGTTTGTGTGTGCAAGAGAAAATTAAGTTTGTTTGTTCATACTCTTCCTTTTTTTCCCAAGCATGCTTATTGAAAAAGACATTCCCCCGTGTGGGTTCCGGGGCCCTTTTGTGGGGAAAACAAGAATAGACCCACTGCCTCCCCAAAAGTTTTTGTCGTTTTTTCGACTAACTGGGGAGCTTCCTTTGAAGTCGGAGTGCATTCTGCCTGTAGAGTTCAAGGAACCAGCAGTCTACATTCAATTGAATCAGATCTGTAAAACTGATGCACACGCAACACTCAGGTTCTGGAGCAGGACTGCAGTCCAGAAGTGGACGAACAACCAGAACTTTACGCCAGAGTGTACAGCTGGTGAACGCGAAGAAGAAGAAGAAAAAGACATCAAATTAAAGGTTTGCCAAAATCAGATTTGTTGAGCTGAAAGGTGAAAATATTGCAGCCTAGCAGTCAACCACAACACAACATGTTAACTGCCTTTTTCAGGGCAAGAAGAAGAAAAATTGCATCATTTCTCCCTGTCCCTGTATGTCTGTGTACATTTGTATAGTTCTTGTCCACCTACTACTGTCTTGCCTTCTCCTCTCTGCTTTAGAAGTAGTAGAAAAAAAAAGGGGGAGGAGGGGGGGGGGGTGGAGAGTGAGAGTGTGTTAGTTATTAGTTAGTTTTTCGTCACAGATTTCTGACCTGCTTTTTTAAAACTTTTGTTTTGTCACTAATGTCTGATTTCAGTGCGAAAGTTTTCACCTCACACTCTATCTGTCTGCCTGTCTCGAATTATATGATATTTGAAATGTGTAACCTTTTCTTTGTCATTTGAGGTGGTCAAACATGACGGACCTACGCTTACGGCACAGCATAGTTTTTACTGATCAGAGATGTTTTTTTTAAAAAGTCAGAGTGCATCTGCCTGAGAGATGAAGAACCAGCAGTGTGCATATAAATAAATAAGCCATGATCTGTAAAATTAATGTATTCCGGAACATGACCACAGAACTTTCCCCTTGAGTTTATGTCCCATGAACATGAAAATGACGAAGAAGCTATTACCATATAATGAAGCATAAGACAGGAATCCCTTAACTAAAACACACAAATCACATTTTCTTTTGTCACCCTGTACATCTCAGCATGTAAATCTAGATCAGTCCCGTGATCCTCTTGTTTACATAAGGCTGGATTTGCCTGTCCTAGTTACCGGTGCCTCTGCACATTTTTGCAACAGTTTTAAAAAAAAAATGTTACTGAAAGGTTACCGACCCCTACTTTCAATGTTGCTTGTGAGTGAATTAGCTGAGAGTTGTACCACTATTGACTTAATTTGATAATTTTGCCAATGTCCTCCTTGTTTTCTCTCTCCTTAAACCTCTGCTACTGTTACATTACAACATGTTATAGTTTTGTGTGTGTGTATCGGTTTGTATACTCAGTCCCAGTTTTTGTAATGAGTAATGAGAACTCTCATTTTACAGCTTGTACCTGCAACGGACTGTCGGAAACGTGCGAGTTTGATGAGAACCTCTACCGACTGACAGGCCGCGGTGGCAGGTGCACAGACTGTCGGGACCACACCGCTGGTGTACACTGTGAACTGTGCGAGGTCAACTTCTACCGGAGGGAGAACCAGTGTTTGAACTGTGGTTGTAACCATGTTGGTGAGTGGTGGGAGACAACCAGTGTTTGATGTGTGATTGTAACCTTGTTGGTGAATGGTCGGGAGAACCAGTGATTGATCTGTGATTGTAACCATGTTGGTGAGTGGTGGGGTGTGTCGCTGGCTTAGGGTTCTGTTATGAACTGAGTTGTAATAGTAGGTGTTTGTTTTAGTGACATGTGTCTGCCTGGGTGTTCTTGGAGCTTGTCTGAATCAGTGCTGTCATTGACACCTGCCACTGTCATGGTCAGAATCATCATCTGCATCCACATCATTATCATCATCCACATCATCATCATTACTCTCACTACAGTCATCATTACCAGTCTTATCATCACAGCCATCTCTAGTGTCATCATTGCAATCATCATCATTAAAATCATCATCACTGTGTCATTATCATCATTAATAATTAGCACTAGTATTCTCGTCATTAGTGTCATCATTACATTCACTAGTATCATCATTATTGGATCATCGTCATTGTCATTAGTAATTATCACTAGTTTCCTAATTATCATCATTACCATCACTAGTATCATTACTACCATCACTGGTATTATCATCGTCATGATAACTATCATCAACTCATTATTCTCCAGACATATGTTTTATTTTACCTGACTGTCTGTGTTGCAGGCTCTTTCTCCCTTCAGTGTGATGAGAGTGGTCAATGCCCCTGCAAGCCTGGGGTTACTGGTCAGAGGTGTGACCGCTGCCTGCCCAATTATTATGATTTCAGCGATGCAGGATGTCGGTAAGTTGGTGTGTCTTATGACATATAGGTAACTCTGGCATGACAGGTATGTGTGGTGTGTCTTATGACATAGTTGACTCTGACATGACTGTTATGTATGGTGTGTCTTATGACATATAGTTGACTCTGACATGACTGGTATGTGTGGTGTGTCTTATGACATATAGTTGACTCTGACATGATTGGTATGTGTGGTGTGTCAGATTACATTTAATTACCTCTTACCTGACTGGTATATGTGGCATATCTGAGTACAGTTTGATTGATGTGGGAGGTGTATCTAAGTATAGTTAGTTTATTGTTACAGAAATGGTATGTGTGGTGTGTCTCAGTACATTAAGTTAAGTCTTACATGATTTTAAGTCTTACATGATTGATATGTGTAGTGTATCTGAGTATATTTAGTTTAATGCTACAGAAATGGTATTTATTTTGTATCTCAGTACATTTAGTTAAGTCTAACATGACTGGTATGTGTGGTGTATCTGAACATAGTTAAGTCTTACATAAGTGGTATGTGTGGTGTATCTGAGTATAGTTAGTTAAGTCTTACATCAGTGGTATGTGTGGCATACCTGAAAGCATTCAGTTAACTCTTACATGACTGTTATGGTTTTTGTTTCCTAATACTTTTAGTAAACTCCAACAATGCTGGACTAACTGAAGAATCAGAATTAGAAGTTGTATCTGTGTGTATGTTTCCTTTATGTATCTGTGTGTATGTTTCCTTTATGTATCTGTGTGTATGTTTCCTTTATGTATCTGTGTGTATGTTTCCTTTATGTATCTGTGTGTATGTTTCCTTTATGTATCTGTGTGTATGTTTCCTTTATGTATCTGTGTGTATGTTTCCTTTAGCTTCTCTGAGCCTCTCACACATATTTTGTATTGTGTTAGTTTTCAGCATAATTTGTGACTGTTTTTAGAGCTAATTTTTTTTCTGGATTGGTTTTGTTCTTTCAGGCCATGTGACTGTGTGCCTGCAGGAAGCATCAACAACGAGCCAAGATGTGACTCCAGAACTGGTCTGTGTGCCTGCAAAGAGAATGTGGAGGGCAGGCAGTGTGACCAGTGAGCATTTTGTTTCTGTCTCTTTATATTCTTCTTCTTTGCGTTCACCAGCTGTAAACTCTGGCTGAAAGTTCTGCTTGCTCATCCACTTCTGGACTGCAGCCCTGTTCCAACACCCGAGTTTTGTGTGTGCATCTGTTTTACAAATCTGACATTTGTATGCAGGCTGCTGGTTTCTTGCCTCTCAGGCAGATGCACTCCGACTTTGAAGGAAGCTCCCAGTTAGTCGACTCTTACGACATGCTTGTGGGTAGGCAGTGGGTCTATTCTTGTTTTTCCCTATAATGGATCCCCGGAACCCACACGGGGGGATCTCCTTATATTCAACCAGGAAGCCAGTTTATTTGTTTAGGTGTGTAATGACCCTGTGTGAGTTCTGGGGATCCATTTTGAAGAAAAAGAATAGACCCATTGCCACCTTAACAGGTATGTTGTGGGGAGGGGAACTAATTAGCGGTGTTTCCTTTAAAGTCGGAGTGCATCTGTTTGTAAAACAGGGAACCAACAAACTGTCTGCATGCAGATGCATCAGATCTGTAACATGGATGCGCACACAGAACTCAAGTTCTAGATTAGTGATACTAGTGATGAAATATTTTGGCCATCTCAAGCACCACACGGTTTGGAAAGAAAAAGAGCAGAAGGCCTGGTAAAAGGAGAGAGGGGCAGGGGCTGACCATCACAAAGATGGGCACAGGATATATAAGTTACTCATCAGGTAGGAGCATGCACGAGGCTTGAGAGCTGGTGAGAGAGGGAATTTCTTTCCCGCAGACCGTAATGAGAGCAACATTCTGCAAAGAACCTGCTAAATGATGACTGTTGGTGATGATAATTCACTCTTCTCCAATCTCCAACAGATGTAAGGCAGGCTACTTTGGCCTGACCGAGGCTGACCCCTATGGATGCGTGTCGTGTTTCTGTTATGGACATTCTACTGTTTGCAGCTCAGCCCCTGGATACCAGGCTGTCAACATCACTTCTAATTTTGAGACAGGTGGGTTGTTTTCTGTTCCTGTCCTAAGATAGATCCTTCTTATTTTTCTTCTTCTTCCTCTTCTTCTTTTGCCCTTACAAGCGGGGTTGGCATGTTGTGTTGTGGTTTTTAGTTAGATCTGAGGCTCTCAGCCTTCCTAATGCAGCTCCCTAATGTTGTGGGGACCCCCCAAACAATTATTTTTCCATCATAACTTCATTGAATATGTGTTTTCTGATAGTCTCACGACCTCTGTGAAAGGGTCGTTTAAACCCAAAAAAGGATCGCGACCGGCCGGTTGAGAACTGCTGAGTTAGATGTTTGCGAGAACCAGGTGTCAGAATCTGCAACCACGACCAGACTGCAGGAGTAGCCAGTTGAGCAGGGTGTGGCCAGACAAGAGCACTGTGCTGGAAGCAAAGAAGAATAAGAAGCCAACACGGGGCTGGTGTCATCAGGTGCTGTACGCAGCCGGATTTAGTGAGCAGGGAATCAAAGCATTTATGGACTCAATGGTTGGGTGTGCAGTGAGGATAATCTGTTGACTTACTTATTTTATTGGGCCGTTTTTCTCTTCTTTGATCCTTCTGACTCTTCTCCATATGAGTTCCGGGGCCCTATTATGGGGAAAACAAGAATAGATCCACTGCCTGCCCAAAAGTACATCATAGGAGTAAACTAATTAGGAACTGAGAGGCATGGAACCAGCAGTCTGCATACAAATGAATCAGTAGAACAGATGCACACCTTACACTCAGATTCTTGAACAGGACTGCAGTCCAGAAGTAGATGAACAACTAGAACTTATGGGGGTGTCCTGAGTGCTGTGATGTCGATTCCTAATTCAGCATAGGAAAGTTGGAGTTAGAGGGAAGGAGATGCAGAGGGAGACCAGCAGAAAAGATGCTGTACAGTTATTCCTCTCAGCGTGATTGAAAGTACATGAGACAGAAGGTTGTGGATAGACGCAACTACTGCCACACGGCATTGACTATAGGACGAAGAAGAAGAAGAAAGAACTTCATAGGAAGGTTGGGAACCACTGTTCTAGATCAATGGCTGAGAGTAGACACAGTTTGATTGTGCCATGTCATCGCTGCTTCTGGCCAGTCTGTCCGCTGTTTCGTTGCTTTCTAGGCCACATGACCTGGAATCCACTGCAGTACACTGCTGTGAATATCCTAGGTTGTGATATCTGCATCTTACTGTCCAACTAACTCCTAATTGCAGCATGATTGTCCCCTTGTGGGTTCCGGGACCGCAATATGGAAAAAACAAAAACAGACCCACTGCCTCTTCCAAAAGGCATGTTGTAAGAGTCAACTAATCTGGGGCTTCCTTCGAAGTCAGAATGCACCTGTCTGAGGTGGTTCCTAATCTGAAGGCCTGGAAAAAGGCCTTAATTTTACTTTTGAACATTTTGAACTTCCTATCTTTGGCATTTTGTGTCACTGGGAGGGTCTTACGACGACATCTTTGGACCAAATCGAGAGCTGCTTTTGGAAGGATGAGGCAGTGAAGGGAGAGTGATTACTGCAGAGGAACGAAAATCTCATCATTTTGCCAATCTGTTTAAATCACCATTGACAAGCTGGCACCTTCACCACAGAGCTATGTATATTACTAAAATTTTTGGGATATATTGAAAGAATGTCAGTATGACACAAACCAAGAAACTTTAGACAGTATATTACCATGAGGAAGATGAATGGCTTGGCCATCTAGACCACAAAGCAAACCTGCAAACAGCTCTCACATGGGTCACCAGAGGGAAAGAGAAGGGGGCTAACCTGGAGACGAAGATGAAAGTGACCTGAGGTGGGTGATATGGGCAGCAATGAATGCTCAGGGGCTGGGAAGTCCTCTGCTGAAGCCTCAAGTAGACTAGCATAAGAGAACTGATGACATGAATCTGGGCTTCCTAACATGAGGTTGTCTTCCACACATCGTGGAAAAACCTTCCTGACTTTAGACTTTTTGTCTTCCTAAATTTTGTGTAATCTGACGAATCTAAGATCGTTTGAAGGGAAGAGTCAACCAAATTCATAATCTGTTTAAATCTATTTAACATTTTGACTTCCTAACATTTTGTTTTCCTAACATTTTGTTTTGGGCATTAATTGTTATATGCAAGCTTTGGTCATTAATTGTTAAATTCAAGATAAATTTTTAGCAGAAATTGTTATATTCCGTTTATTACGTGTTTGGTCCTTGATTGTTTTAGACATGATATTGTACTTTTGCAGGCAAACAAAGATGGACGGCATTCACCAGAAGCAACCGAGAAGTGGAGACCCAATATAATGGGGTCATCCAAAACCTAGGGGTGTCGGCCGAGAGCAACGAGGCTGTATACTTTACAGCGCCGTGTGAGTACTGCTGTTCTTAATGTGCTTTCCTGTGTCACTAATATCCTCTTCTGGTTTACTGGTGCCTTTCGAATTGGAACTCTTTGCTTGCTGCTGAAGTTGGGGATGGAGCGCTTATTGGAGTGTCCGCCCGACGAACTCCTTGTGGTCCGGGCTCACTCCCGGGGGTAGGCAGAAAAGCCACATTTCTCCCAGATTAACGGTACCTATAATGGAATCAATACCGAAGGGTTGCGATATCCATAGTACCGAGCCAAAGGGTTTACAACTCATGGTTTCTGGATACGTAAAAAAAAATTGAGTGTCCTGAATACTATGATGTCGATTCTTAATTCAGCATTCGACATTCCCCTTGTGGTTCCGGAGCCCCATTGTAGGGAAAAAACAAGAATGGACCCACTACCTCCCCAGCAAGCTGGGGGCTTGCTTGAGAGTCAGAATACATCTGCCTGAGAGGCAAGGAACCAACAGTCTGCATACAGATAAGCCAGATCTGTAAAGTTGATGTGCACACAACACTCAGGTTCTGGAACAAGACTAAAGTCCAAAGGTGGAGGAACAGCCAGAACTTCTTACTGGAGTTAACAGCCGGTGAACGCAAAGAAGAAGAAAATTATTGCTGTGGATATCACCCGCCTCCATTTGTCTCTGTGATTGGCCCTCTCTTTCCTCTTGGTCACTTCAAGTGTTTGTAGCTATGCCTGTATATTTTATTGTCTCTCCATTCTCTTGTTCAGAAACCAGAGGCCGTGTTAGTGCAGTTGAAAGGAGACTCACTTTCAAATCTAGCTGCGACTCGCTGCAGCCCATGGCCAATGTTCGAAACCGGGCGGTTACCGGGGTTCACCCAGCCTCTAGGTAATGGGTACCAGAGTTAACCACTCTGGGGTAAATGGAGGAACATCGCTGTAGCTATCGAGTTGCGTTCGGACGGTGACACAGGCGGACAGTTTCTTATTATCAGCTGTCCCTACTGGTGGCAGAGCACTTATGGTTTATAATTGTGTGCAGTGACGCTGGTTCACATCTCCCGACTTGACTTTTGTCTCTTGTTCAGAAATCCAAGATGAAATTCAGGATGCCAGCTGGAGGGGCGGGAACTCTTGGCATTATTCGACAGCATCTTAATAACTTTTAAATAAATTAAGTCACATGACCTTGTCACTTGATGATGAAAGACTATACCGTCATGGTAGTAACTCCACTCTGTTTTCCCTTTGGCAAAAAAAAAAAAAAAAAAAAATCAAGCATTGCCATCACGGAATGATAATCTTTATTTTTGAAAGTAATATTGTGATTGGGGGAAAGGGGGGGGGGGGGGGGGGGGGGGGGGGGGGGGTCCTAGAACGAATTAAGAGGTTAAGTGAAACAGAAATAAAACAGTTATATTTTACGCAGTAGCCATGGTGGTGTAGTTGGCGAAGCACTTGCTTGCTGGCCTGAAGGTTTTGGGTTTGAATCAGCATTGGGAGAGATTTGGATCCCGGGTCAGTGCAGCCTTAAATGGGCATCATGTATTATCCTGGGAAGTAAAGGCAGCTGGCAAGATTTTGACCACATCACCCACTTTGTGCAGATTGGTCTGTGAAAACATGTCTAACATCACATGCCTGTTGTGCTATTGGCATGATTATTTGTATTCTTCCACCTAGCTCGTTACCATGGTGACCAGCGTTTTAGCTACAACCAGTTCCTGACCTTTGACCTGCGGATCGGAGAAGAAACGGCACGGCCTTCAGTTGTCGACATCATTCTAGAAGGTTCAGGACAGTCACTCTCCACCCACATCTTTGCCCAGTCCAACCCCATCCCCAGTATCGATGAGAAATCTTTTGCCTTCAGGCTTCACGAGAACCCCCAGTACCAATGGGCCCCGAGGATTAAGGCTACAGATTTTATTGGAGTCCTATCCAACGTGACCAACCTCAAGATTAGGGGCACCTACAATGATAAAGGTGAGTTGTGACAGCTTATTTAGTCTGACAAAGATAAACGGTGAATTGTGTCAGCTTATTTAGTCTGACAGTGATAAAGGTGAATTGTGACAGCTTATTTAGTCTGACAGTGATAAAGGTGAATTGTGTCAGCTTATTTAGTCTGACAATGATAAAGGTGAATTGTGTCAGCTTATTTAGTCTGACAATGATAAAGGTGAATTGTGTCAGCTTATTTAGTCTGACAATGATAAAGGTGAATTGTGTCAGCTTATTTAGTCTGACAGTGATAAAGGTGAATTGTGTCAGCTTATTTAGTCTGACAATGATAACGGTGAATTGTGTCAGCTTATTTAGTCTGACAATGATAAAGGTGAATTGTGTCAGCTTATTTAGTCTGACAATGATAAAGGTGAATTGTGTCAGCTTATTTAGTCTGACAGTGATAAAGGTGAATTGTGTCAGCTTATTTAGTCTGACAATGATAAAGGTGAGTTGTGACAGCTTATTTAGTCTGACAAAGATAAAGGTGAATTGTGTCAGCTTATTTAGTCTGACAGTGATAAAGGTGAGTTGTGTCAGCTTATTTAGTCTGTGGATGGCATAGATATACTCAGAAAGATAGCTAATAACCTATTTCAGATTGTTTATCCCCGTCTGATTTCAGAGCCTCAAACAAACATTAATTGGAGGCGACTAATTAGTGGTTTCAGGAGTGCATCTGTCTGAGAGGCAAGGAACCAACAGTATGCATACAGATAAGCAACATCTGTACAGACCTTGTACATGCATGGAAGATCACCTTAGACTTAGTCTTGGTTTCAGCTTCACTGCAGTCAGGTCACCCCTACTTGCTCCTTTCCTGTGCTAGTAAAAACCAAAGGAAGTTTCCCTCACCACCTCATTTGAGAAACTGGCAAACAAACAATCAGTCCCTGTACAATCTAGAAATATGCAGACTTAGTAAAGGCATACTTGCATTAGCAATGCAGAGGTTAAACAGCTAAGAATCTATGGCAAAGCACTAGTAAACTGGTTAAAGTAAAAATCTTCACATCTTCAGATAATGAATATTTCCTGTGGCAACTTATGGTTGCGAGTCCTGGACTCTCACTCACTCATGGAGGAAACAGATTGTAGCTTTTGAATTGAAATGTTAAAGAAAAATTCTTAGAATACCATGGATCAAGAAGATGAAAAACATTGACATTCTAAATGAGTTGAACATCAGGGAGAACTGGCTCATAAACATCCTGTCCCGAAAGTTGAAGTATTTTGGCCACATCAAGCGTTATGGTGGCTTGGAAAAGAGAATGATGAAGGGTGCAGTTTGTGGAAGGCGAGGCACGGGTCGACCACCGCGAAGATGGATACAGGACATTGAAGATGCATTGGCATTGAAAGCACTTGTGGCTTGGAGAGCTGGCTAGGGAAAGGGATACTTTTAGGCGTGCCGTGAAGAAAGCGACATTCTGTAAAGGGTTTGCTAATTGATGAGTAAATGCAAATATCAGTTTGTCGTTGATAGAAGTAGTCGGGCACAGTAAGCTGGCTATACACAAGTAGAATTATTACATAAGGTATTTCATGTCTTCTTTGTTCAAATTCACAATGGGGAAACACTGCAGTGATGTATAATTCTGTTGTACGTACATTTAGTTCCTTGCTGGGACTGCAGAGTTTGTGCAGTTTGGTGAAATTATCTGTGTGTGATCTGTGACAGGAAAAATAGATATATCCGTGTGTAAAAAAAGTTTTTAAAAAAAAATAAACCCTTTCCCCCAGCGACCTAGAAAAAACAAATAAAGCCAAGCTCTCGCACTTTCCATTTTTTAGGGTGGGGTGAAATTCATGAAAATAAAACTCCTTATAAAAACCGTCAGTGTACACATTTCACCACACACACAAAAAAGTTGCCCAAAATTAATTTGTCATCCAAAACAAAAACAAATACTGTATCGAGTAAGAAAGTAATCAGTAAAAACAGAAGCAGCTTAGAATAAAATGGTTTACAACTAACTCACCCCAAGTTGTTCTATCCTTCGCTCTTGCATGCAGTGTCCTCAGTATCTTTTTAACTTCACTCTTGAGCTTGGATCTTCTTATGTTTTTTTTATGTCTGCCTTTATTTCTGTGCCCCTAGGGTTCCATTGCCAAGACATTCTAGTTATATTTTTCTCAGGTTTTCTCAGTTTGTGTCCTAGAGATGCCAGTGTCTTTTCTTCACCACTAGAACCTGAATAATCTCTCCCAAAGCTCTACATTAGTGATTCTCTCACACATTTAATTCCCTCTGTTCTGCGCAGGCACAGTTAATAAATGTATGTAGTTTATTAGTTTTATTAGTAATTGCCTTAGTTATTCTCCATGTTTGTGCTCCATACAGCAGTACTATTTAATATTAGAATTAAATATTTTAAGTTTAGTATTAAATTTCTCGTAACTATCACACATTTCCTAGTGCAATGAAAGCTCCTCTTGCCATTGGTATTATTTTTTTTATATTTCTATAATTTCCCCTGTCTTTATCTACATTAGGGAGCTGCGTGGTTTCGAAGCATGCTGTCCGCCTCGAGTGCTAGAGGTTCAGGGTTCAATCCCCTGTAAAGGCTGGGATTTTTTTACGCGGACTTGAACTTCTAGTAATTCCCCCTGGTCTCTGGGTAGTAAGATCAGACGTCTGTGTGCATTGTTGTGCATGTAAAAAATCCCTTGGCAGTTAGAAATAGAAAAGAGTAGCCCAATGGTGCTGCCCGGGCAAAATTTAGATTTAGCAATCTACCCAAAGTATTTCAGGATCCTCGCCGGTGCTACAGAGCCTGTGCACTGTGCTGAACTTCTTCGGACTCTGACTTGAGTTAGAAGAAGAACGGAGCACTTATGGGTTACTACCCATGCGCCATGATGTTGACCCATTGTTAAAAAAAAAAAATTTACATTACTGCCCAAATAGGTGTACGACTCCACATCTCGGAGTGGAATACCATTAGGAGAAACCACATAACCATTTGCCTGATTTATTCTCAGTTTTACATCTCTTGCGGCCTGTAAATTAATTATACGAGGACACTGACTTGACCCTGTGACCTGGTTGTCTGAGATAACCCACTATCACCAATGGGGAAAAATATGAAGTAGGAACTGGTATAAATTAGACCATTTAAAAATGTATTACACCCCCCCCCCCTTTTCCCCCTTAAAAAATGAAGAAAATTTAGTTGGCGCAGACACAGGTGCAATTTATTGCATTAGTTAAACATCTTGTACACATTTTTCTATAGTGAGTCGGAAAAGAGGCTGTTACGGGGAAGTAGTTCCAGCCGGAAATGTCGATTTCGTGGCTTTTCAAGGCAGAATCCCGTGTGGGTTCCGAGGCCCCATTGTGGGGAAAACAAGAATAGACCCACTGCCTCCTCAAAAGCATGTCGTAAGAGTCGACTAATTGGGGAGCTTCCTTTGAAGTCGGAGTGCATCTGCCGGAGAGGCAAGGAGCCAACAGTCTGTATTCAAGAGAATGAGATCTGTAAAACTGATGCACACGCAACACTCAGGTTCTGGAGCAGGACTGCAGTTCAACCAGAACCAGAACTTTCCGCCACAGTGTACAGCTGGTGAACTTGAAGAAGAAGAAGGCAGAAGGGTAAACAGACCCCACAAAAATAATTTGTAAATGTGTTTGTAACTGATAATTTGTATGCTTGACTTTCATTAAATAGGAGTGGGCTTCATCGACAATGTTAATTTGCAAACTGCCCGTCAGGGCTATGGCGGAGATGATGTCACGTGGGTTGAGTCCTGCAGCTGCCCAGAAGGCTACATCGGTCAGTTCTGTGAGTCTTGCCTGCAGGGCTACAAGAGAGACCCTCCCAACGGGGGACCCTTCTCCAGATGTGTGCCCTGCACATGTAACGGCCACTCAGACAGTTGTGATGTCAACACAGGTGTGTACAGGTTTACAGAAGTAGGATGGGACTTCTGCACTAACTTTGCTATCTCCTTCTCCTCCTCCTTCTCCTCCTTCTACTCCTCATCCTCCTTCTACTTCTCATTATCCTCCTCATTCTTTCTTCTTTCTTCCTTCCTTCCTTCGCTTCCTTCCCTTCCTTCCTTCCTTTTACCCTTTTGAAGGCATTTGGCATGTTTCATTGTGGTTTACAGCTTAGACTCAATGCCACCAGAACAAGCATGTCGTAACTGATTTCCTAAAAGTTTTGCCAAAAGGTGCAGATATCGCAGCCTAGCTGTAAACCACAGCACATTCTCCCAACTGCCCTTTTAAGTGCAAATGCAGAAGAAAAGAATAATAAATTCAAAGCATTCACATGCATGCACAGATGTGTACTCACACGTGGACAAATATACACAGACCTTCAATTGCAGAGAGTGATTGGGTTTAGTTTATATTGGTTTGGTTTAGTTTAGATATGTTTTCAAGTGACACATGTGCACAGATATACACAAACCTTCAAGTACACAGATAGTTTGATTTAGATATGTTTTCAAGTGACACATGTGCACAGATATACACAAACCTTCAAGTACAGAAATAGTTTGGTTTAGATATGTTTTCAAGTGACACATGTGCACAGATATACACAAACCTTCAAGTACAGAGAGAGTTTTGTTTAGATATGTTTTAAAGGGACATTTGCACAGATATACACAAACCGTCAAGTACAGAGAGAGCTTCGTTTAGATATGTTTTCAAGTGACACTTGTGCACATATATTCACAAACCTTCAGGTGCAGAGAGAGTTTTGTTTAGATGTGTTTTCAAGTGAAACATGTGCACAGATATACACAAACCTTCAGGTGCAGAGAGAGTTTTGTTTAGATGTTTTTAAGTGACACATGTGTACAGATATACACAAACCTTCAAGTATAGAGAGAGTTTTGTTTAGATATTTTTTCAAGGGACACATGTGCACAGATATACACAAACCTTCAAATGCAGAGAGAGTTTTGTTTAGATATGTTTTCAAGTGTCACATGTGGACAGATGTACACAAACCTTCAAGTACAGAGAGAGTTTCATTTAGATATGCTTTCAAGTAATATATGTTCACAGATATATACACACACCTTCAAGTACAGAGAGAGTTTTGTTTAGATTGGTTTGGTTTGGTTTAGATGTTTTTTAAGTGACACATGTGCACAGATATACACAAACCTTCAGGTACAGAGAAAGTTTAAATAAGTTTTGGTTTAGTTTCGGTTTTTAGTTAGTCTGTTATAAACACTTGTGAAATGTTGTGTAGGAATAAAACTCATTTGTTTATTTCTTTCACATGTTTTTTTTAAACATGAGAGCAGAGATTGTTGTTTAACTTCAGCAAGAATTGTATTGTTTTAATGTTCAAGGTCGTTGCATATGCAGCCACAACACTGAAGGTGACTTCTGCGAGCGATGCGCCCGGGGCTACTATGGTGACGCGACACAGGGTACACCAGGCGACTGCAGGCCATGTCCTTGTCCAAATGGTGGGCCATGCATTCAGCTGCCCAACGAGGATGTGGTCTGTACTGAGTGCCAAGTTGGACATGGAGGTAGGATGTGGTCTTCTTTTTTCTTCTTCTCATTTCATCCCAGGGCAATGGTTCTCAACCTTCCTAATACTGTGATCCTTTGATACAGTTCCTTATGTTGTGGCAACCCCAAGAATAACATTATTTTTGATGCTGCTTCTTAACTTCAGTAAATATGTGTTTTCTGCTGATGGACTTAGGCGACTCATGTGAAAGGGTTGTTCCACCCCTAAGTGGGTTGACAACCACTGTCCTAGGGTGTAATTGTGTTGCGCCTGTTAACAACAAGACTGCCCGAGATTCCCTCTTCTGTTGTCTCACCCCTCTCTCTCTCTTTTTCTCTCCCTTGCCTCCCTCTTTCACTCTTCTACCTATTGCTCCTTCCTTCCCGTCTGCTGCATTGTCTCTCACCCTCCCCTCTGATCTTTATCTTCTTTTCTTTCTCTCTATCTTTCCTTTTACTCTCTCATGTCCTGTCTCCCCCCCCCCCCCCCTTTTTCCTATTTTATTTGTTGTTTAAATGTTTAGTAAATGTGTGGCTCCATAACTCTTTTCCTAGCAACTCAAGTACACAGGAAGTTGTGTTATGGTTAAAAGGGGGGGCGGGGCGTTCAACGTAAAACATAGTGGATATTTTCTTTTGATGTGTTTGTTTTCTTAGTGGGCCTAAGTCTCTGTCCATCTTCCTTCCTCCCCCCTTACATTTTGTCCTACCTGTTCCTCACTCTCTGCCTGTCTGTCACTGCCTTCCTCTCTCTTTCTCTTTGTATTTGCCGCTCTCCCTCACTTCCCTCTCCCTCTCCTCTCTCCTTCTCTTTCTCCATACCTTCAGTTGGTGTAGAAGGTTATGTGTTGCCTAGTGCAGAACATTTCATGTCCATCACTCCCCCCTCCCTCACACACATTAAATATATGTGTACTTTTAAAAACACATTTGCCGTCACCCCCCCCCCCTCTTTTCCTTTCTCCTCCCACATTGTTGACACCTGGGGGAGGGGGTGCACCCCTTCCTGCTACCCTCTTCCCTCTATATCTCATCTTATTTCTTTCTACCTTCTTTCTCTCCCTGTCTCAGTTCCCTCTTTATTTTCTTAAACTTTGTTCTCTCACCTTTCTCACCTCCTCTGTCTCACCCTTACCATCTCAGCCTTCTACACCACCTGCTGCCCTCTACCACCAAGTCTTTAAAAAATTTTCAAACACTATATCAAGCGCAGGGGCAGACCAACACAAAGAAGGGCACAGGATATAAGTGACTCCTTGAGTATAAAAAAAGTACATGAGATGGGAGAGCTGGTGAGAGACCGAGTTTTTTCCAGGACAGAGGACCTGCTACATGATGATGATGATATATGTGCTGGTATACCAACACATGTGGCACGAATGAAGTACATTGTGTGTTCTGTACACCCTTGAACAAGGCAAAGATGTTGTTTCAGTATTACACCGAGACCTTGAAAAAGACCTTGAAAAGCCTTGAAATTGATTGGTAAATTTGGCTATGAACCCTGCTGTTTGTTTGTCTGGCATCCTTTAGGAAATCTGTGTGAGCTCTGCTTGGATGGTTACTTTGGAGATCCTTCTGGTCAGTTTACTGGCCAGCCCAGCAGCTGTATGCCTTGTACCTGCAATGGCAACATCGATCCAAATGCTGTTGGAAACTGCAATTCGTAAGTGAAGAGTAGAACATTTAAGTTTAAATATTTCATAGATCATCATCATTATGTTAGTCAGTTTGAAGGCATCGTTTTTTTCCTTACTTTTTTTTCTTCTCTTTCTTCTTTTTATTCTTCTTGTTCTTCGTACTTTGTCAGACATAGTTGTGAATTTATTTAGGGAGAAAAAGCAACAGACAGCTTGAGATTGTTTTCGTTCACCTGAGTTTTTCATGTATGGGTTCTGGCACCCCAGTGTGTGTTTGTGTGTGCCCATGCACTGGTGCATGGTGCGCGGTGGGGGGGGGGGGGGGGGGGGGGGGGGGCGCGCACAACCTCCCTAATAAGCGTGTTGTAAGAGTTGACTAATTAGGTGTGCTTTCTTCGAAGTCAGAGTGCATCTTTCTGAGAGGCAAGGAGCCAGCAGTCTGCAAGCAGAAATGCTAGATTTGTAAAACGAATGTGCACGCAAAGTTCAAATTTTGGAACAAGACTAAGATCCAGAAGTGAAAGAACAACCAGAACTCTCCGCTGAAATTTACAGCCAGCGAAAGTGAAGATAAAGAAGAATCACCAGTTTTTCATCACATGGAGCGGATTGTAGGCCAGAATAATTTAAAAATTGACAGGGACTGCTCGGTTGACTTTGCTTGTAAATGCGTACCAGATAAGTTCTGGAAAGTAACGATGACTGGCATAATATTGACCGTATCACTCATCAAGTGCCAGTTTGCCTATACAGTTTTTGGGATAGAAATGTGTCTCACATTTGCAGAAAAGGAACTTTAGCTTTATTTTCTTTAAAAAAAAAAAATGTGACCATCATGTTCTGTATTCCGTTTTTTCCATAGTATTGTCTTTTTCTTCGTGTTCACTGGTTGTAAACTCTGGCGGAAAGTTCTGGATGTTTGTCCACCTCTGTACTTTGGTCTTGTTCCAGAACCTGAGTTTTACGTGCACATCTGTTTTACATTTGCACTCCGACTTTAAAGGAAGCCCCCAGTTAGTCACCTCTTAAAGCATTCCTGTTGGGGAGGCAGTGGATCTGTTAAAGTTTACCTTACAGTGGGGTTCTGGAACCTGCATATGGAGGTCAGAGTATTCTGACTTTTCTCCGTCTTTTTACCTTAATTACTAACTTAGTCGCTTTTCTTCTACCTGGGGGTGTAGAAGTTTGCCAGAGAGATCGCCAGACTTCTCTATCAGTGGTTGTCATTTTTGGCTTTGTTCCATTCCAGTCCTCTTTCAGTCAGGGATTGTCAGATATTGTCTTCCCAGCCAACCTGGGTCGTCCTGGTGGTCTGGTTTCCTGGTTCTTGGCCTGCCATGGTGGCCATTTCTCTCACAATCAGATTCATGTCCAGACCATCATAACTGTGACTGATCTGCTCAAATTTGTAAAGCCTGAGTTTCAAGGTCATTATGTATTTTCTGGTTGTGAACTGTGTCCTTTTGTTTTTTGTGTATGGTGTTTTTTAACATTTTAATTGTATTGCTTTTTTTTAAAAAAATTGTTTGTTTTATTCTCCAGCACAACTGGCGAGTGTCTCAAATGTATTCGTAACACTGGAGGCTTCTTCTGCGACCAGTGCCTGCCCAACTTCTACAATGACAGTGCCGGGGTGTGCACGGCCTGCAGCTGCTTCCATAGCGGCACCGTCAGCCAGCCTGGCACCAGTGAGTGTGATCAGCGAACTGGCCAGTGCCTGTGTCTCCCTAATGTGATTGGGCGACAGTGTGTGATGTGCCAGCAGGGATATTGGAACATCGCCAGCGGAGAGGGTATGTTGTTTTGTGAATTATCAGCCTCTCAACACGTTTTTTTCCCAAGCAGCACATCATTTGGGACTGGATATTATTTGTGTATGCCACTAAATAAGTTATCTGTGTTTCATATCTTAATTTCCTCGTGTGGGATTTGGGGTCCAATTATGGTGAAAACATGATTAGACCCACTGCCTCCCCAACACACAAGTCGTAGGAGTTGACTAATTGGGGGCTTTCTTTAAAGTTGGAGTGCATCTGCCTGAGAGGCAAGGAACCAGCAGTCTGCATACCTATAAGCCAGATCTATCAAATGGATGCACATGCAAAACTCAAGTCCTTGAACAAAGCCAAAGTCGAGGAATGGACAAGAAACCAGGTCTTTCTTCTGGAGTTTACAACCGGTGAATGCAAACAAACATGTCTTAGGTTTAGGAGAGGAATCATTTACACAAAATCTTAGAATTAGTAATTTGGAATTAGTATACCCATGAGTTTAATGCTGTCATTCTTACCTCCCTCATCAGTTTGATGGGACCTTCTGGGACTGGAAGAGTTAAGGGGCATTTATCGAGACAATTTGTTAATATTGTAACCAGAATTAACTTACGCTGGAACCCACAAAGCCAAAGAAATACAGAGAGTCAAAGTGTTTATACTTTCAATTTGAATAAAGAGAACACAGATAGCATATTCTGTAGTTAGTTTATTGCCTGGCATATTTGACACTATTGACATATGTGCATACCATAAACATATACAGTAAGAGACAATTATGCGGGAACACACATACACCCACCATTATCGTATAATTAACATACCAATGGCGTACAATTTCTTTACTAAAGTAAAGAACCTTTTTCCTTGCCTTCAGGCATATGGGGGTATATAGGGCCAGACCTATATTTTTAAAAGACCAATCACCACTTGGTGGGTGAAATGGTCAGCTATCTGCAGAAACCCTGTTCAGCCATAAAGTTATATAAGTCGCTTATCATTATTATTGACATATAGACATACCATAGATATATAGGTGTACTGTAGGCATACTGTTAACATGTGTACACACCATTGACATATAGACTCACTGACATACCATTGACAAATCCTAGGTTGCTCTCCATGTGAATGCAGCGAAGTTGGCTCCCTGAACTACACCTGTGAGGAGGCCAGCGGCAGGTGTTCGTGCAAACCTGGGGTCTCTGGGCGCAGATGTGACGAATGTGAGCGGTACCACTATGGCTTCTCACCTTCTGGCTGCACGGGTGAGTTGAAACTCTTGCGGTCAGTCTATGTGTGGTCTCATGGGTTCTAGCTACATCTGTGCAGGAACATGAATAGGTGAAGGACTTTTTTCCCGCCTGCAGCGCAATTGGGCACATTATGCTTGACCTCTATAAAGGCCATGCTATGAGAAGGAGAAAACTGGAGCACATCGTGACGGTAGGAAAGTTGGAAGGGAAGAGAGGCAGAGGGAGACCGAGAGAGAATATGCTGGACAGTTTGACTTCACGGCATGGAGGATCATCTGTGTCAGAGTTGATTGAAAGTGCATGAGACAGAAGGTTGTGGATAGACAAGACTACCAATACCACAGGGTATGGACTTTGAGGAGCAGAAGATAATTTTACAGACCAGTCAGCACACGATGGGTGATGTCCATTGGCCGACAGAAACATATCTCAGGTTGTGTCTGTGATGACCATGTTTCAGATTGTAGCTCATGGTCATAACAAATTAGGCCGAAAGCCAGTGCAAGATAACATTCAGCACGAAATACCCAAGGCCGAAGAGACCAGTGATAAAAAAACAGGATGTGAAATTGAGGTCATTTGTGAACCAGAAGTCAAAGAGGACAGGTGTAGTGTTAAATACGTTGAATATAGAGTAAATGAGTTGTTAAATAGTTTAACTTTGATTGCTAGAAAAGTATGTACATTAGGAGATTGTCCTGATGAGAAGTGAGGTTAAACTACATTAATACAGAGAAGTTATAGAGAACGTTAGCATTAGTCCGCGTTCTGCTGTAAGAAGTTGATCTGACCCGTACAGTGTAGTTCATGTTTCACAGTACTGACCAATTAATAAAGCATGATGCCCACCCAAAATGTTTGAACTCTAGATAAGCTTATATCACCACAGCAGAAGACACATAAATACAGAACAGGTGCATGGAAAAGAGCACCATTATAGTGTAGACCCCCTCACACCACACTTCAACCCCCAGCCTGGAGGACAAGTGTGTGTCCAATTGTCTTTTCTAAAATATTGTCATCATATAGCAGTTTTCTCTCTTGACACTCGTTATTTCTTCTGTCCACAGCTTGTAACTGTGACCCCATTGGGTCGACAGATCTTCAGTGTGACCCCTATGGTTATTGCCCTTGTAAGGAAAATGTTGACGGTCGGAGCTGCGACAGATGTATGGAGAACAAAGTACAATATTGCTGCAGGCTGTTTGGGTAAGTAAGAAATAATTTTATTATGAATTCACAAAATCTCCTCATTACATTTGTTTAGCTTGCTTTGGTCATTCATTCATTCATTCATTCATTCATTCATTCATTCATTCATTCATTCATTCATTCATTCATTCATTCATTCATTCATTTATTTATTATTCTGGTGTGCTATAAAATGCCAAATAAGGCTTGCAGTCTATTCCTCCATTCTGTTCTGTCCTATGCAGTCAGTTTAATATCATGGATGGAATCCAGTCAAGCATCTTTGGCCTCTCTCATCAACATTCATTTTAGGGTTTCGGGGGGGGGGGGGGGGGGGGGGGGGGGGGGGGGGGGGGTTCATTTTCGTCCCCTTATATTTTCCATTTTATTGCCATTTTCGTCCGTAACTATCATACATGCCCTCTACATCTCAAACCACTTGACTACTTTGATTTCATTCGTTAATTTGGTTTATTTTTATTTTTCTCTTAGTCTTGCTTCCTTTTTTTTTAAAATTTTTTTTCTTTTAGTGTTATTAATCTTGTTTCTTCTTTTATCTTTTCTAGTGTGTGTGTGCATGTGCTCGCTGTTAATCTTGTTTCCTTTTTGTGCTGTTAATCTTGTTTCTTTTTTATTCAGTTAATCTTCTTTCTTTATTTTTGTACTGTTAAGCTTGTTGTTGTTGTTGTGTGTGTGAGAGTGAGTGTGTGTGTGCGTGCGTGCGTGCGCACGCGCACGCACGAACGCGTTGTTATTCTTGTTTCATTTGTATATGCTGTTAATTGTTGTTTTCTTTTTCTATTTTTCATTTGGTTTCTCTTTGTGAGGTGATTCCGGTGGGCGTTTTTTTTTTTTTTTTTTTAAATTTGGTTTCTTTTAGTGCTCTTAGTCCTGATTCTTCTAACAACATCAGAGAATTCTACAACAGCCAGTCAGAAGAACCAAAACATGTCTTCTCCCTCAGTACAAAAGAGGAAAGTAAAAGAGAAAGGGAAGGAGAGGCTAGTGTCTTTTTGCTTTGATAATCACCTTTTCCAGCAAATGTAAACTGAACTGGTCCTCCCTACAGACTGCCCACAGTGCTACAACCTGGTCCAGCGACAGGTCAACACTCACAGGGCCAAGCTGCGAGAATTGATACTCCTCATTGAAAAAACCACAGACAACCCGAGCTTGTTCAATGACTCCGAGTTCATCTCCTATTTACAGAAGGTCAATACTTCAGTCAATGTATTGCTGCGGGATGCCAGGGCCACTTCAAGTAGGTCACCCTTACATTTAGAGATTATAATGTACTCAATATTAACCCTTTTAGCACGGGAAGTTTTTCAGAGGTCTAGCCAAAAACACGGAGCATTTTTTCAGTGAATTTGGTTATTACTTTATTTAATTTTTTTGACAGATTTCTGTTATTCTGACCCCTATGAAATAATATATCTATTTGAAGGATATAGATTGAAGTTCGTGATTTTCACAATATCGTTAAAATTAATTGATGTATATGCAAATTATCTCATTTGCATATCTGAAAATAGAAAATATGAATTTGAATTTTCAACTTCAATGCTTGAAACATAAAACTAAAAACAAAAATTTTTTTAATTTGAAATCTTTTTATTGATCTTTGGCCTTTTTACAAATGTTGTAAGCAATTCAATAGTCAAAAACAGGTATATATATGTGAAACAGCAATAATATCTTTAGGTGACATGTGTTTTTCACCATCAGTCAGCACTAGAAATGGATGTGCCGGAGTGTCAACACCTTCGGGTGGATACACCCTGAGCCATGGTTGGGCTGTGGTCTGAACACAACAGCGTCCCCATCTGATTCCCACTATTACTACTAACACTAAATCCTGCATCAGTATCAACAGAATTAGTGTCATCACTTGATTCAAATGTTTTATCAACATCAAGTTTAGGGGCAGAAACATACGAGTCAGACATACTTTCATCGATTCAGGTCACTATCTAAAAAATTCAACAACAATTTTCACTTCGATACCAAACACTTGAAAGTCGCCATGTGTAAAGCTGATACCGCAGTTAATATAAATGAATCACTTTCAGTGTTTCAAAGTAGGAGATTTCTTAGCGGTTCGAGGCGAAACACGATCGGGCCGATCGTCGGCCGTTCCGTGTTTTTGGCCAGACATCTGCCGGCCGATAATCGGCCCGTCCGTGCTAAGAGGGTTAATAGTGTTTTTTTGGATAGCCTGCCATGTTGTACCATAACTTACTGGTTGCTACCATAGCATACCATGCTATACCAAAGCGTCCTACTTGTCACCATATTTTACCAAAACATACAAGTCTTTACCATGGTATACATACTTTACCAAAACCTAACAGTCCCCAGTCTGTACCAAAACATACCAGTCTTGACAATAGCATGCCATGCTGAACCAAAAGATACCAGTCCTTCACCATAGCATGCCATGTTGTACCAAAACATACCAGTCTTTACCATAGCATGCCATGCTGAACCAAAAGATACCAGTCCTTCACCATAGCATACCATGCTGTACCAGAACATACTAGTTTTCACCATAACATACCATGCTGTACCACAACATGTCAGTCTTTACCATAGCATACCATGCTGTACCACAACATGTCAGTCTTTACCATAGCATACCATGCTGTACAACAACATGTCAGTCTTTACCATAGCATACCATGCTGTACCACAACATGTCAGTCTTTACCATAGCATACCATGCTGTACCACAACATGTCAGTCTTTACCATAGCATACCATGCTGTACCAGAACATACTAGTCTTCACCATAGCATACCATGCTGTGCCAGTTTTGACAACAGCATATCATGTTTTACCTTGGCATACCCATCTTTACCAGAGCATACTGTGCTGTACTATAGCATCCAATTTTCACCTTAGCTTACCAGTCTTTATAGCATACATTTACCATGGCATACCATGCTGCACCAAGGCATTCAACCACTGATTACCATAGTGAATCCTACTCTTACCACAACATACTTTACCCTAGCATGCCCTGCTTTAACATAACATAGCATACATTTACCATAGCATACCTCTTACCATAGCATACATTTACCATAGCATACCTCTTACCATAGCATACATTTACCATAGCATACATTTACCATAGCATACATTTACCATAGCATACATTTACCATAGCATACATTTACCATAGCATACATTTACCATAGCATACATTTACCATAGCATACATTTACCATAGCATACCTCTTACCATAGCATACATTTACCATAGCATACATTTACCATAGCATACATTTACCATAGCATACTTTTACAATAGCATACCTTTATCATAGCACACCTAAACATAACATACCTAACCATAGCCTACCCTTATCATACTGTACCATGCTGTACTATAGCATACCTTTACCATAGCATACCTCTTACCATAGCATACATTTACCATAGCATACATTTACCATAGCATACTTTTACTATAAAAAAAAAGTAAAGTTCCCTTTTCACGCCTTTCGGCGCATCGGGCATATGGGCAGAGCGTCCCATATTTTTACAGACCATCAGCACTCTGTGGGTAATGTATAGCATACCTTTATCATAGCATACCTAAACATAACATACCTAACCATAGCCTACCCTTATCATACTGTACCATGCTGTACTATAGCATACCTTTACCATAGAGTACCTTTATCATACCATGCGATGCTATGTCATAGCTTACCTTTAGCATAACATACCTTTACCATAGCATACATTAATCACATTGTACCATGCTGTACTATAGCATACCCTTACCATAGCATAAATTTACCATAGCTTACCAGTCTTGTAAGCCTCAGTTTCAAAAGACCAGTCATAACTTGATAGAGATTTAACACCTTAGTCATCTTTACTTCCCACAACATTTCTCTTTATGTGTCTGTCTTCCATGACTTGATACTGTCATGTTGTTACTTTCAGCTGGAGATGGGACTGTTGGGGCACAGATCAATGAGCTGAGGCGCTCCTTGAGCGAGGTGCTTGTGAAGCTTGGGGAGATTGCCCAGAACATTGCTACAGCTTCCAAAGCCACTAGGGACAGCCAGGATGACATCGCTGCTGCGGAGAAGGCCATCGACAATGCTGATGCCGCTCTGAGGATGGCCGAGAATTATATCGACAAGGAGGGTCGCACGGCTCTGAAACAGGCCTTGGATGCCTTGTCGAACTTTGGCCAGAACTCGCAGCAGATGACAGAGATTGCCAGGAGAGCTACCCTGGAGGCCAAGAGGTGACTGCTGGGTTTTGTTTTTTCTACCATAAACTTTCTCACTTTTCATTTTGATCTTCAGGGCCTCTCTCTTCCACTCTCTTTCTCTTTTAGTTTGTTCCTGTTTCTGCCTGTCTATGTGCTTCTCACTGTATCTTATTGTCTCTGTTTCTCTCTCTCAATCTCTCTCTCTCTCTCTCTCTACCTCTCTCTGTCTCTGTGTGCGTGCGTGCACAGGTGTGTGTGTGTGTCCCCGTTTTCTCCCCCCCCCCCCCATCTTTGTCCCTTTTCTCTGCTTTGTCTTTGTCTTAATCTTGTGTGCTGAGTGTGAACAGGGGCCACCTGCCACTACTGGGGATTCAATCAGTCTTACGTTTTGGTAAGGCAGTGTTACTAATCACTACACCACAATAGCTCTCAAACAGTGGTGGGTAATGATTGTTTTATTAATTTTTTTTATTTACAGGCAGAAAGAAGAGGCTCAGAATATTGAAAATGTATCAAAGATCGCTCTAGAGACATCCAGGGAAGCTTACCGATTGGCTAACGAGTCATTGAACATGCCGTTCAAGACACAGCAGGACATTGAGAGGCTGCGACGAGAGTGAGTCAGATGTGTACCTTTCATTGTATGTGGTAGATCTCATTGTGGGTGGTAGATCTCATTATGTGTGGCAGATCTCATTATGTGTGGCAGATCTCATTGTCTGTGGTAGATCTCATTGTGGGTGGTAGATCTCATTGTCTGTGGTAGATCTCATTGTCTGTGGTAGATCTCATTGTGGGTGGTAGATCTCATTGTCTGTGGTAGATCTCATTGTGGGTGGCAGATCTCACTGTCTGTGGTAGATCTCATTGTGTGTGATAGATCTCATTGTGTGTGGTAGATCTCATTGTGTGTGGTAGATCTCACTATGTGTGGTAGATCTCATTGTGGGTGGCAGATCTCATTGTGTGTGATAGATCTCATTGTGTGTGGTAGATCTCATTGTGTGTGATAGATCTCATTATGTGTGGTAGATCTCATTGTGGGTGGCAGATCTCATTGTCTGTGGTAGATCTCATTGTGTGTGGTAAATCTCATTGTGTGTGATAGATCTCATTGTGTGTGATAGATCTCATTGTGTGTGGTAGATCTCATTGTTTGTGATAGATCTGATTATGCATGATAGATATCTTTGTGTGGGATAGATCTCATTATGAGCCAGAGGAGGGACAGCAGCCACTCTATCAGCCTGCTCATTATCCAGGACACCCTTTTTACGCCAGTGTCGGAGCAGGCATATTATGCTAGACTCGTAATTGTATAAATCAGTCATCTCTCAGGCAGTGTGGTCTACATCACGGCAGCTGCCTTTACTTCCCAGAACATTACCTGGTACCCATTTTAGGCTGGTTTGGCCTGTGAGCCAATGTCTGTAAATAAACCCCCAAAAATCTGACCTCTTATTTGTGTTGCTTAAATAAATTGATGCAGCCAGGACAAATACTTGTTCTCATTACCACGGGTAATTGATTGCTTTTTCTGCAGATATGACGATGCCAGCCTGTTGTTCCAAAACACCAAAACCGTGGCTAACAGCACCCTTGCCAGGGCAGTGTCCGCCAAGGATGAGGCATTCTCCCTTCTCGTGCTGGCCCAGGAACAGCTGCCTAGCATCGATGTGGACATGTTGAAGCAGGAGGCAGAGAAGATCAAAACTGAGGTTTATATTTTCGCTGTTTCTCTGCTTTTTTTCTTTCTTTTGCTTTGTTTGTTTCTTCTTTCTTTCTTTATCCCTCTTTTCCCCCTTTATTTTTCCCCTTTCTGTTATTCCCCCCCCCCCCCCACCGTTCTTTAATTATTTAATTATTTCCCTTCTTTATTTATTTCTTTCTTTTTTCTTTCTTTCTCTCTTTATTTTTCTCTTGTTTTGTTTGTTTCTTTATTTTGTTTTCTTTCTGTTATTCTCCCCCCTCCTCCCTCCTTTCTTTTCAGTGTTTATTAAATTCTTCCTTTTGGGGGGGGGGGTTTCCTTTCTTTTTCTTTCTTTCTACTTTCTCTTTTTCTTCTTTCTTTCTTTCTTTTCTTTCTTTCTTTCTTTCTTTCTTTCTTTCTTTCTTTCTTTCTTTCTTTCTTTCTTTCTTTCTTTCTTTCTTTCTTTCTTTCTTTCTTTCTTTCTTCTATTTGTCCCTTTTACTAGCCTTTTTTATTCTATATTTCCCACTTTCTTTCATTACTTCATGAGAAAAGTGTCTACACAAGGGTGTGAGTTGGTAACTTCATGAAAAAGATGTTCATCAGTGGAGCTGTGAAGTTTATGCTTTGTGCAGGTGATTAGTCTTTCTGCTGAGTGGTCTATTCTTGGGAAATATCCCAGTGGAGTGAAGTTTGTCTTTTCAACTTTGACTGTATTGTGCTTGTTGTTTAACTTTTCTGTGAGTGTTTTAGTTCATGGATGATATATTTCTCAGGCTAATGACATCAAAACCAGGGCCAGGAAGCTGATTGATGAGAACCAGGAACTCCTGGCGAAGGTGAAGAACCAGAGCCAGGCGGCCGACCGGCTGCTCGAAGAGGGCGACACTTTGAACTTGGTGAGAACCAGTTGTTGAGCTTCCTGTTTACATACACACACACATACATTAAACTTCTCACTCAGTCACACACTGGATAAACAAGGATACAGTTTTTATTAGCTTTTACCCTGTCGCAGCCTGATGCTGACCACATCACCCGCCAAGTGCCGATTGGTCTATGAAATATAGGTCTAGCCCTATGTGCCCATTATGCCTAAAGGCATAGAAAAGGGTCTAATAATGTACTACTTTTTGTTTGTTTGATAAACCCTGTCTGGTTCCCAGGGGAAGAGAATAGACACACTTTCCCCTAATCTGGTTTCCACGGGAAGAGAATAGACACACCTTCCCCTAATCTGATTCCCAAGGAAAGAGAATAGACACACTTTTCCCTAATCTGATTCTCAAGGAAAGAGAATAGACACACTTTTCCCTAATCTGATTCCCAGGGAAAGAGAATAAACACACTTTCCCCTAATCTGGTTTCCAGGGAAAGAGAATAGACACACTTTCCCCTAATCTGGTTCCCAGGGAAAGAGAATAGACACACTTTCCCCTAATCTGGTTTCCAGGGAAAGATAATAGATACACTTTTCCCTAATCTGGTTTCCAGGGGAAGAGAATAGACACACTTTCCCTTAACAGTTGTGTGAAAGGAGGTGAATATTTAGGGTTTTTTACTTCAAAGTGGGAGTGCAACTGCTTGTGAGGTGAGGAACCAACAGTCTGCATACAAGCCGGATTTGTAAAATGGATGTGCAAGCGAATCTTGAGTTTTGGAACAAAACCAGAGCCCAGTAGTAGACGAACAACCAGAACTTCCTCCCACAGTTTGTATATAATGTCAAGAAAAAGATTTAAAAGGCGCTAAAGGCAATGTAAATAAAGAACTACTTTTTCAACAGCATGCAAAACACAGTAGTAGTATAATGTTTAAATGGCCACTATTACTGAAGTTTGTAATGCAGATTGATACTAAATTAAAAATAAAAAATAAAAAAATGTATTAAAAAAAAAAAAACTTGAAAAAAACAAATAAATAAAAATAAAACAAAAACAAAAAAAACTTGAAAAAAAAAAAATATAAATAAAAAAACCTTAACAAAAATGTGACATTATTACTAGCAGAGGAAACAATATATTTATGAGAATTTGATGTGTTTTTCTCTCCCTTTTTTTTGTACAGGATGTTGCGGACTTGCTGGCCGAGGTGGACTATGCCAGATCTGAGGCTAGGATGGCCGTGGAGAAGGCTGAAAAGACGCTGAAGGAAGCCAATGATACACTGACCATTTTGGAGGGTATTTTCTCAGTTTGTTCTAAATATAGTGCCTGTTCTTCTTCTGGTCCTGTTCATGTTTCCAGGTCCATAATTAGAGTAACTTCCCTTGCCATTCATGCCTTCTTGGGTTGCTGGACCTGTCTTTTGTTGCAGGGTAGTCATGTTTTCCTTATTGTGAACAGTTTAACCATTGCCTATTTTCTCGTCTTTTCACCGCTCACTTGCATAATTGTTTTCATGTTTAGGAGAATGGAAATAGCAATATTTTTCTATTCCTACGCTCCTTGTAACTGCTGCCTTTTTCTCATCGGGAAGCCAACACCAACGAACATAAAAATACAAAAACATTCCAGTTCCGATAGCCAAGAATCGTTGTGCCTGCGGCATTTCCCCCTGCAGTACCTCTTACTTGTGCACAGGCGCCTGCAGCGCCTAAAATAAACTCCCAACAACACAACCTCTCACAAACATTACATTCGCCGAGCAAACGCCAAGCCAAGTCATATCATAACACCCCAGCAACATGGGGGAGATCCAACGACCTAAAGATGCAAGAATGGCATGGGAAGTTACTTTACTCCTGGGCCTGGAAACGTGAACAGCACCCTTCTTCTTTTACATTTGCCCTTAAAAGGTCAGTTGGCATGGTGTGGTTTTAAGCTAGGCTGCAATATCTGCCAGTCACTTATCAATAACCATTATCCTTTCCTTGTCGTGTTTCTACTCAGGTGTTGTTGGAGACTGCAGCTGCCTAGCTTAAAACCTAGGATGCTTTCAACCAGGGATCCAGAGGTTGAAAATGGGAATCGTCACGGGCTAGCGGCTTGAGCAGCAGCATAGGATAATTATTAAAACAATTCAGATGGCAGTGGTCCACCATCCACTTGCTAGACCTCTGCGGGACACCAGTTGAAAAGCTCTGCTTTGAACCAAAATAACCATCCCTTTGTGTCTGACCAAAAAGTTTCTAATGGCCTCTCCTCCAACATATATTCCAGAATTTATATATTCCAGAATTTGACAAACTGGTCAACCTCAAAGATGAAGCCCTGAAGTCCCTACAAGAGATACCTGCCATTCAGAAAGCCATAGAAAATGCTCAAGACATGACACAGGAAGCCAGAGATGCCCTGGCCGATGTGATCGCTGATGCTCGCCGAGCTCTGGAGATAGCCAGAGATGCAGAGGCCAAGGCATTACAGGCTTCACAGGTGGGTTGAGTTATCTTTCTTCATCTCTTCTTCTTCTTCAGTTGTGAGAAAAACAAGAATAGACCCACTGCCTCCAATGCAAGCATGTTGTAGGTGCCGACTAAGTGGGGAGCTTCCTTCGAAGTTGGAGTGCATATGCCAGAGCGGCAAGGAACAGCTAACTGCCCACAAATAAGCTGGTAAAACGGATATGCATGCAAAACTCAGGCCCTGGTACAAAGCCTAAGTCTGAATGGACAAACAAACAAGACTTCCCGCCGGAGCTTACAGCCTGTTAACGAACAAGAAGATTTAATCTTCTTGTTCCATATCTTGAATATATTGCAGTTTGCGGAAATAATATTCAGTTTTTCTAGTCCTGCTGTCATTGATTTTACGTAATTTCGTCTCGGATCTCTTTTTCTTCTGCATTTGTCCTTGTGTTGGGGTTTACAGCTAGGCTGTGATATCTGCGCTTTTTGGCCCAACACACCTGATTTTAATAGATTTCTCATTATTCACCTTTTTGCGACACAATTGTTAAGAAGCAGTCAGTTTGACACCCCCCCCCCCCCCCAAATAGGGCACACAGGGAGTAATTTTCTTGTTGATTTTAATTTATTCTGTGCAAAATCTTGAATGTGTAGTAGTTTTATGGGGACAAATTTCCTTCTCTAACCAGCTCACAAGTTCAAATAAGTGTCATATTCTGAGGCCCCAATTTTTTTCTTTGGGGAGGGGTGGGGAGGTCCATCCTTGCCCCCCAACAGGCATGTCGTACAAGGCAACCATTTATGGATATCTCCTTTGAAGTAGGAGTGCATCTGCCTGAGAGGCCAGAAACCAACAGTTTGCATAAGCTAGATCTATAAAACAGATGTGCAGCCACAACTGAAGTTCCGGAACAGGACCAAAGTCCAAAATTGAACAAAAAACCAGAAACATCGCCCCTTCCCAAATTTACAGCCGGTGAATGCAAAGAATCTGTTTTGTTAGAAGAGGTGATTGAGATATTCTATTACAGAAGGCAAGAGGAGCTTTCATAGCACTAGGAAATTTGTGGAGGTCAAAAGAAATTAAAATAATGCTAAAATTAAAATTGTTCATTTTATTATAAAATCAATCCTGCAGAATGGAGCCGAAACATGAACTAGTAGGGCAGTTACTAATGAACTACAAACATTCATTAACTGGTGCCTGCGCAGAATAGAGGGATTTAAATGGTATTATAGAATCACCAATGTAGAGCTTTGGGAGAGAACTAAACAAGTTCCAGTGGACCAGAAGGTGTGGGGCACACGTTGAGAAAACCTGAGAATATAACTAGAATGTCTTTGCACTGGAATCCACAGGGGCATAGGTATAAAGGCAGACCCACAAAAATACACGGAGATGGAAGTTGAAAAGATTGAGGAGAACATGGGGTGAGCTGCATGCAGCAATGAAGGATAGAACGACGTGGCATGAGTTGGATGGGGGCCTCAAAGGGTTGAGATGTGAAGTCCTAGGCCTCATTACCTATTACCGGCTACGACATTTGATGTGAGGTAGTCAGTTTTGTTTCTCATCACATTTCCTTCAAAGAATATTCCAGAAACTATGTAGTCATCATCATCATCATCAGGTGCCTTGCTGACTGGCGTGGGCGATCATGCCTCTCCACAATCCGTACGTAGTAATGATTTTTAAGATGCCAAAACACTAGCAGTTGCCATAGCACGGGGCAGTTGTGTATTTTGTCTTGGAAAACAAAGTGCATTAAAGTTTAAATTTTCTCTGCAGGAGGCCGGGGAGATTCGTAGCAAAGCAGGCACTACGAAAGACAAGGCCAGCCAGTTGAGACAGGACACAGAAGAGCTCTCAGATGATGTCCGGAAGGCGGAGACTTCTTTGACTGGTTACGAAAACCAGGCCAATCAGGATGAGGAGCTGGCTAAAAATGTGAGTTAGACCCTTGTCTGACTGGCTTTTGTTGTTGGATTGTGGTTTTGTATTTGTAGTTGTGGCTTTTGTTGGTGGATTGTGGTTTTGTCTTTGTTTGTGGTTGTGGCTTTTGTTGGTGGATTGTGGTTTTGTGTTTGTGGCTTTTGTTGGTGGATTGTGGTTTTGTGTGTATGGTTTTTTGGTGGCTTTTTTTGGGGGGATTTTTTTGGGGGTTTGGTTATAGCTTTTGTTGGGGGTATTGCGCCTTTTTTTTTGGTGGGCTGTGGCTTTTAACAGTGGATTGTGGCTTTTGTTGGTGAATTGTGGTTTTTGTTGGAGGACTGGGGGGGGGGGGGGGGGGGGATAGGTGTCTTTTGTTTGCAGATTATAGCTTTTGTTGGTTGATTATGGTTTTGGGCTTTTGTGAGTGGATTGTGGCATTTGTAAGTGAATTGTGGCTTTTGTTAAAAGATTGTAGCTCTTGTTGGAAGATTATAGCTCTCGTTAAAGGATTATCGTTTATTGGTGATTTCTGTTTTTATGTGTGGTGGATTGTGCCTTTTGTTGATGAATTTTTGCTTTTGTTGGTGGATTGGGGATTGTCTTTGTGGATTTAATTTCTGTTGGGGGTTTGTTGTTTTTGTTAAAAGTGTGTGGCTTTTATTGGTAGATTCCAACTTCTGTTTGTGGACTATGGTGGCATTTTTACAAACATACAACTGAAAACTATAGAGTTTGCACCTGTGCGAAACTTTTTTTTTCTTTTCCATGTGATCCTACATTATGAAGATGAATTACCTGTACCGTTTGTCACTTTCTATGTCTATCCAAAAGACACTTTTGTTAAAGAATATACCACCTGTTCTCCCCCCCTCCCCCACCCAACATGTATGTCATTTAATTCGACTAAATAGGTGAGTTTCCTTCGAAGTCAGAGTGCTTCTGTCCAGAAAGTGAGGACCAGCAGTCTGCATACCAATTAGTCTCATCAGTTAAACTGATGTGCATGCAATACTCAAATTCTAGAACAAGACCAAAGTCCAGAAGCAACCAGAACTTTCCACCGCAGTTTACAGCCGGTATACACAAAGACATCTGTTAGTTTATTTAACTTGAAGTGGTGAGCTGGCCCTATGCGCAGGGTGGGAGAGCTGGCCCTAAGCCCGACCCTCCTCCTTTCTTAACTGGGTTTAGGACCGGCAATGTATCATCATGCTTAAGTATACATCTTGTATTGTTGTTATCTTTGGTCAGATTCTTGGAGATCTCATTACCTTCTTTACTCTCAGGCTTTGCTGGAAGCTGCAGCTGCCAAGCAGAAAGCCCAAGATGCCTTTGACCAGATAAACGAAGCTTACCGGCTCGTGAGTTCCATCCGCAACGAGCTCGGAGACCTGGGGTCTGTTGATATGCAGCAGCTGCGAGCTTTGGAGAAACAGCTTGAGGAGGTAAGTGTCTGCATCACTTAACCACACTTACAACTTCCTAGCAGACAGGTGACTCTATAAATGCTTTGTCCCTGTGCCAATGAAAATCACACAGAATGTCTGGCATTGATCCTTATGACAAAAATTTAGACTGCTGTCTTAGCTAATCCAACACAATACTTTTTCTTCTTTTTACGTCTCACTGATACCAGGTTGTAGCTCAGTTTCGTGGTTTTCTATATTTGTCTTGCATTTCTCGGGTGGCTTGGGTGATGGATTTGTTATCTTTTAGCAGGTTTCTGCTATACCATTTATCTTGCTTATTCTTGGTCTTCCTCTCTCCTTCCTCCCAGATGTTCTGCTTTAAAAAGTATCTTATGCAGGTTGGCCTGTCTGCATTCTCACTAGATGGCTGAACCATTTCATTCTTTGTCTGATCCAGACATGGTCTTATTCCAACTTTTTCTCAGATGGTGGTATTCGTAACCCTGTCTCTTCTTATGTTCTTAGTGACCTTGCGGAGAGAGTGCATTTCACATGTAGTTATTTTCTTTTCCAGTGCCCTGTTCATTGTCCATGTTTGGCACTGATAACACAAAGTAGGGATTAAGATGCTTTTGATAATTTGCTGTTTTGTTTTGCTGGAAGGGAGACATTTGGGTGCCTAGGCAGTGGGGCTAAGTGACAGCCTTTCCACCAGAGTACACACACATATTAAATGTATAAAGCAGCAGTCAAAAGTGCCAAAACAAACATTCTGACACTAGAAATGCCATTCATCATCACTGAAAGCAGCAGTCACAACAGGTCAGTATTTGCACATGCAATTAATGGCATATGGCACCATAAGTTCTCTGGCATCAGGCCAGTCGCCATTGGGCACAGTAGAAAAGCAAGGGAAATCTGCAGTTCACAGCATCATGCATGCACTCACTTTGTAGCTGGATGATGGAACTATATCCGTTCAGTCTGCATATGGGGAAAATAGAACAGCTAACAATTGTCAACAGCAGCAAAAACTTGTGTCACTTCTCCATGTGGGTTATAGGGCCCAGTTTTTTAGGGCGGAAAAAAAGGAATTGACCCACTGCTTCTCAACAAGTCAGTACCTGTGGTTTAGATGTTGCACACATGCTTTGTTGTTCCATGGTGCTGGGTTCGATCCCAGATGTGTATGATTTGGTAGCAGACCTCCTTGTATTGGTTTCAACAGCTGTATCAAGAGCTGACTATTCAGAAGGAAGGCCAAACTCATCCTCATCATCTTGTAATCCTGTGTGTTGTAGGGTTACCTTTTGCAGTTGACTGTCTGATCAGCTCCCTCCAGCTTTGACGATCCTTTGTGATGGACTTCATGGTTGCATGCCTATTGCTTGTCCAGTCAGTCAAGTTTTGAATCCAGGCCTGTCTTCATCTGCCTCTTCTCCTCTCTTCTTTGAATGGCAAACTGTTGAATGACAATGTATCGAAGAAACTAGTCGCATTTCAGTTGAATTTATTCAGTTTTGTGCTTTATTTTATGTTGATGTAACTCTGTAGTAACGCACCTGATGAGATACAGCGAAATATGCCTGGCAATAAATTGTTTGTATCCGCTTTATTTAAATTCATTACAGGAAAACATTGTTTTGAATATAAAATTACCTAGTGCAATCACCAACAGTCAGAGATTGCTGGGGTGGTTCTGCATTGTTCTGTAAAGGAAAAACAACCAACTTTTCTTAACAAGCTTGTCGTAAAAGGGGAATGAATAATCAGAATTGGCTGAAATCAGAAGTTTTGATACAAGAGGCACCGATACCAGGGCCTTAGCACAATGTGCCAACCACCTTTTTAACTCTCTCCGTCCCAAGCAGCTGATAGACGAGCGAGCTATTCGTACCAGCTTTATGCTGTCAGTGACAGACATGGACAGTCCTAGAAAAATGTAAGCACAGAATGACATGTGAGATGAGATATATCAGAAATGTAGCTAGGAAAAACAAAGAGATGGAGTCACCAAGAAATTATCAAGAACAGTGGTGGGCACAGAGCAGTTGTGGAAGAGCAAAATCAGCATCGCAGTCAAGGTGCTGTCATGGAGGGTTGGACATTTGGACCCTGTGGATGTAGTATGCCTATTTGTTGTCACTGTTCCTTCAGCTGTGCATCAGCTATGCTCTTCTGGGACTGAAAGAAATAAGTGGGAATTAACAAGATCATTTTGTGTCCCTTTTGTGTCTATTTTGTGTCTTTTTATTTCAGGTTGAGAAGCAGCTGGCTGCTTCAGACATCGACAAGAAGATGACTGAACTGCAGAGAAAGAACACCCTGATTGAGTCTCAGGCCGACAGATTCGACCAGGATCTCAGCGAGTTGCAAGCGGCCGTAGAAAACATTGGTGACATCAAGAATTCTTTACCCGTGGGCTGCTATAAAACGATTCCTATAGAAAAGCCTGCACGATAAGGGGATCTGTCACTGGGTTTAGGGCATGAGTGGTCATCTTCATGTAGTCATCGGCTTGATTGTTGTATCTGTTGTCAGCATTCTTATCTTGTAAAGTTTAGTTGATGTTGTATGCCTTCAAGCAGATCTTGCTCGAACTGTGTTAGTATCACTTAATTTCCTTTATTATTTTCTGTTTTACGAGGGGGCTTCAGATGGAAACTTTAAAAATGTGATGGAAATTACAATAACCACACACTTGTCTTCTTGCCTATCGGTATTGTTTGTTAAGGATGTCAAGAGTGTTAAGCACTTGACATCACATTTAGACGAACACAGTGTAGTCATATGATGGTTCAAGGATGGCTGCCCCCACTTTTGACATGCACCACACAGGAGCAGCGTTCTATATTCTGTTTTGTGATCAATGAAGGCCTGAAACCTACAGAAGGTCCAGTATGGTATTGGACTGACAGTTCTGATTGTTCGTCTACTTCTCTACTTCAGTCTTAGTCCCCAGCTTGAGTTTTGCCTGCACATCCATTTTACAGATCTGACTTATTTGTAAGCAGACTGTTGGTTCCTTGCATCTCAGACAGATACTCGGTCTAAATAGTCCCTTTCTGTTACATACTTGTTAGGGGGTTCTATGAGTCTGACATACTTGTTGGGAGGGGGGGGGGGGGGGGGGGGGTCAATACGTCTCTTCTGTATTCTCCAAAACGAAGCTCTGGAACCTACGCGGGAATTCAGCAGTTTTAATTAGTAACCCTCTAGGACATGATTGTTTGTTAAATGGCAGGAACGTCTACTAACCACCCTCCCCCCGCACACACAAAATATATGGGATTAGATTATTCAATACTAGCATCAGTTGTGGGTAGATTTTCTTGTACAACTAATCGGAGAAATTCTGGAAACAGCCAAACGTATTTAAATGTTTCACGTTTCAGCTTTGTGTCGTCTCTCATATTACAAGTATATTTTTAACCATTGCCTGTACAGATCTGATATTTGTTTAAATGTTAACTAATGATATTACTTTGTCACAATTTTTTTTTAGTCATTTATCCACAAAAGTCTGGCCAGTACAGGAAGTGCCACTTTTATATCTGCCATAATAGAGTGCTAGAGAAAAACAAAATGGCTGACTGTTGTTTGTATGTGTAAATATATATAAATATAACATGTATGAAATATGTACATGTTATTATGTACATACATGGTGCATGTGTCGACATGTATTCATTTAGCCCATATGCTTATCTTTACGTCTGCTTGTTTAATTAGTCGATTCCTTATGTAATTATTGTTATTAATGGTGGGAATTAGATGCCGTGCCAGACAAAATAGCATACGCCATTTCTTCTTTTTCTGCCCTTTTATTCCCTAATGGAATATAACGACCACACAAATGGGTACAGTCTTCTTCAGCATGTAATGATAATCACTGACGGGCCAGGTTGTATCAGACTTTGTCATCAGCTGAGGTTGCCCAAAATACTGTTTATCTTTTGAGGTAAGCTTGGATTTTTATGTAAAGTGGTAAATTTTATTTTGCAGCATCTTTTTTTTTTTTTAATTGGGGTGAGATGACCGACACCAGTTCCAGTGCTTGCTTTAGTTGTTTCTTGTTTTAGTATTGACAGATTTACAGATCTGGCTTGTTTGTGTGCAGACTGTTGGTTCCTCACCTCTCAGGCAGACCCACTCTGACTTTGAAAGATACACTCCTCATTAGTTATCTTTTACAATATGCTTGTTGAAAAGTGGGAGGGGCCCTTAACCACACAGGTCAACAGTATGGGTTTAGCATCATATGCCACTGGTATTAAATGGATATTTTTTTACCTTAAAGTTTTACATCTCATTCTTCTTCTGCCTTCTGTCTCCCAATGGAGCACAGGCTCCAGCTCACGCCAAGGTTTTCTATTCTTTGCCGTTGCCTGCAGCTTTTTCCATGTCCTCCCTATCTTTTTAACTTCATTGTCTAGCTCCCTTATCCGTGTCTGTTTTTGGTCAGCCTTTATTTCTGTGCCCTTGTGGGTTCCAGTGCAAAGTCAGTATAGTTATACTGTTCTCAGCTTATATCAGCATGTGTCTTTTCCAGCGCTAGCATCTTTTCTTCACCTCTTGATTCGCACTAATTTGTTTAGTTCTCTGCTAAAGTGCAGCGTTATTGATTCTGTCATACCAATAGATTCCCTCTGTTCTGTGCAGGCACTAGTTAGTGATTAGGAAAGTGTAACGTATATTTACTCAGTTAACTGGAATTAGATGGACATCGCATATCTTATCTGTTCACATTGTTGGAATATTGTATGCTTAGTTAGCATCTATTTAAACAATATATGCATGTTGAAAATCATTTGCGAAACTATTTTCCATTTACTCAATGCTTTTTTTAAAATAAATATTTTTAATTTGGAGTATTTTTGCTGCTATATTTTGTCAAATTAATGAACCCTTTTCTAGGCCTGCAGGCAGGTTGGGCGTATATTGTTCGAGCTGTATTTTACACAACAGTCGGGACTTGGTGGGTGATGTCAATAAGGCTGTGTCAGCCTGGGAGCCAAGTTCATTGTTTAAAAAGTTTGGCTCCTTTGGAATTTGAACCCACGGCCTTCAAATCCGCAGGCGAGCGCCTAGCCTCTACACTACAGTACTTAGTCTTTCTTCTTGAGCCTAAGGCGGCGCATAGGGCAAAGGTCTTAGCTCTCCACGTCTGTTTGAGGTCTTGGATGTTCATTAGGCCCATGGCTGAGCCTTTCCTGATGATGGTTCTATGCAGGGTCTCTCTTGATCTTCCATGTTTTCTTTTCCCTTGCGGTGTACATGGGAGAGCTTGATGGGGGGTTCTTGTGTCTGATCCATTACGAGTTATACCTGGATGGCTTGACTCTATGAACGAGACAGAACAAGAACACTGATCTGATCCATTATTCTGGTGATCGCGTGAGATGGCAAAACATGATACCCTAAACTCATGGGTGCATCACAAGATGGTGCTTTCATGAGGACTTGGAGTGAGCTGCAGGTAATAGCAAACGACAAGACAACTTGATGTGAGTTGGTTAAGGGTCTATGCTTTATTAGGAAACAAATGGCAGAGAAAGAGAAGTGTGCTTATTAGGACTGATAGATGCACAAGAGAGATAGATGATAAAGAAAAAAAAAAGGCTATAGTTTCCACTTTGGGAGTAGAACTTGTTGCCTCCAGATGACAGTGGAGCCTTGCTGCAGGAACCAGTGTAGTTCGACACATAGCCCTGAGGGTTCCCCTTGATTTCAACATTTCTCAAGCCTTGTCAGCTGTCTTACTCAGGGTCAAACATGGACACTAACATTCTCTGATAAACGTACAATTGTGACAACAGAGAGGAAATGCCTTAGAACAGATAAAGGAGTTTCAAGGAAAGACATAATACGAAATCACGAAAAAAGACGAATGCTAGGAATATAGCCAGTCTTACAGGTCATCAAAGAACAACAAATGAAGTGGTATGGACACCTAACAAGAATGTCCTGGTACTATCTCCCACAGCGAGCCACACTGAAGTGTTACAGCGGGTACAGAGCTAGCGGAAGACCTCCAAAAATATGGAGTGAAGGCTTTAAGAACAGCCTTAAATCTTAATAGTCCTGTTGACACAGCTCATCAACGAAAGTTACATCTCCCCTTGACACTTCACTGAGGTACAAGGTGGAAGAGAAGAAGAACTCAGGGAACATTTAAAGAAAACTGGGTTTCGACATCACTGGAATCAAAGAAAGTATCCAAATATTTGTTGTTCTACACGAGTCACTAGTAAATTCGTTATAAATTGATTTAGTACTACTACTACTGCTGACTGTGCTGCAGCTTCACTGTTGCTGCGACTGCTGTTACTTTAGTACTAGGATTAACCCCCTTGTACTGCTACAACGGGAGTCGCTGTGGCCGAGCGGCTAGACGCTCGCCGCGGATCGGAAGGTCGTGGGTTCGCTACCTGGCAGAGCCAGACTATTTTCAATGACCTTGGCACCCAGATTGACCAAGCCTTCAGTGGGTACTGGGTGCAGCCCCGGGAAGTAAAGGCGGCCGGCCTGATGCTGAACACATCACCCATCTTGTGCCGATTGGTCTATAAAAATATAGGTCTAGCCCTATATGCCCTAAACGCCTAAAGGCGTGTAAAAGGGTCCTGTACTTTACTTACTGCTACAACAATAGTATGGCAACAGTTATTTCTAAAACTGCTGTTACAACAACAGTTACTGCAACTACTTCTACTACTGATGCTATTACTACTACTATGACTACTATTACCATTATTACGACCACAACAACTATTACTACTACTACTACAACCACTACTACTATTACTACTACTATCCCAACTTCTGTTACTACTACCACCACTACTATCACCACTACTATCACTACTACTATCACTACTACAACTGTTACAACCACAAAGAAATACCAGGGCTACATTTTGCAATCAGCTAAAGGCTAACCACAGATGCAAACATAATGGGTTCAAATCCACTGACATTTTTTCTTCGAAACAATGAACTTGGCAGCCAGCTCAACACTGTCTAAAATGGGCACAGTTTTCAGTCCTGGGAAGTAAAGGCGGCTGGCATAATGTTTACTATATCACCTACCGAATGCTGATAAATCTAGAAAAAAAAATAGGTCTTGCACTTGATGCACAACACGTATGAAGGCAGGGAAAAGAGAGCTTTACTTTTGACGACAGGTTACTGCGTAAAAAATCGTTTTTGCCACAAATTCAATCAGAAATCATACATCTGTGACTCAACATCTGTGACTCAACATCTGTGACTCAACATCTGTGACTCAACATCTGTGACTCAACATCTGTGACTCAACATCTGTGACTCAACTTCCGTGTTACTAATAGATAAGTAGGACTGCATTCAATTTCCAATAGAATGCAATAGTAATTTTTCTTTCAAGAAAACCCCACAGTGTAGTTATTCATTCAACTGTTTCTTTGATGGTTTATCAAAAA